TCGGGTTGGAAATGCGAAAATCAATATCGACTTTCCTCAAAGGTTTGCCTCCGCGGATTTGAGACTACAAGCGTGACAGAGCTGGTGGGTTCAAAACTGTCCACCAAGGATAGCCAGGGTACCTATATTGGGGAGCACGGTGCTCTTGATGTCGCAAAGCTCCAGGGCGAACCTTGCTGAAGTTCTGAGTTTTGGACCCATGCCAGCATGCAGCTTAGTGATAGGCTGGCGCAACAAGGGTAGGCCATGGAAGACCCGTTTCCTCCAAAAGAAGATTATGAGGATTGGCGTGCCCTTCTTCTTTGGAGCATATTTTGTGAGTAAAACGTACACGGCGTATCGCGAGGAGTTCTGATTTCTCTTGGCGCATGTTCATCACCATTTCAATATTGTAACATTTCTATGAATGCTACTGAAATAAACCTGAATATTGGTGAGCGACGGAACTGACTTGTTCTTACTTCTAAATGTCTTCATTGATCGCCTCCTTCCATATCACTACCCAACGCAAATTAAATACTGGTCGTCCTCCTGGGCTGGGATATTTCAACGAAACAATGCGATGCCAGCCAATGGAGATAAATTGGTTTCAAGTAAAAGCCGTCAGACATCAGTCACGTCGCACAAATCGACAGGGTTGTTTTACGAGCTTGTTTTGTTCGTGTTCAGCGCCCCCACCCTGTGGGATGGGTGATATTCATCATGAATTTAAAAAGCAGCAATCAATTACCGTTTTGGCACAGACCCTAGCATGATTCTCCCAGACGAAATGATGGCTCGAATGGGCACACCAGAAATATCCCATAGACACGTCAGAGGGCACCACGCCTCAGGCCAAGGCGACAGCAAAGCAAAATAGAGTAAAGCGGCAGGAGATTAGAGGTGTGTCATGGAACTCGCTCTGTGACGAACCAAAAGAGTCATCTTCGTCACATCGGTCCCGACGAGCGAGCCACTCAATCCTACCGGACAGGACCCGAACAGTTCAAATGTGGGCAGCCAGACCTCCGTAAATCCTGAGCACAGGTCCCTCGCGCCCGTTGCGCTCGAAAATCAGGATCTGAGGCGCGGCTTGAGCAGAGCACGCCAGGTATTGGCTAGAGCTCCGTGCGCTTGTGTAGGGCGTTTCATGTCCGGCTGTTTCCCCCTCCTGGCTGGCTGCGCTCACATAGCGGCTGAGCTGAAACGGCGCCCATGCATGATTATGGCACCTCGAAATGATCGCATTGTATGGCCTTTTCACTTTCTACGGGTCCTATTCGCCCATGTCCTCCGATGTGGCCATCAGTAGAGCTGCATGACCCCAGCCCATCACGCTGCTTTAGCTCGATCGATCCTTGCTAGCATCTATCCCAGAGTTACATCTCTCGAATATGTACTGGTCGCTGCCCACCACATACCCCAGGCAAAGGCCTGTGACCTGGTCTTCCTAAAACCCTCACAATCCAATTTCGATATTTCACTCTCGCCCGAGTGGCTGCTGCGTGTGCTTCTGTTCCAAAGCCGGCGGGTCGAGCAGACACTAGAGGGCATCGACCGCCCAGATGGATTCCACGACCTACTTACAAGCGGTAGACTGTGGTAGTATCGACGGCGGCCTAAAATGCAGAGGGAAGGGGGGCTCGACTTGCTATGATTCTGGTTCTGATACCTGGAAGTCCTACGACTGCTATGGGCGATACTGTCCCAGCTCTGTGTTGGCAGGCAGCCAATGGGGGTAAGAGAGCCGTACTCCCTCCTCGTTCTCATTAAAATTCGAGCATTGCTAAGTCTTGATAGATGCTGTGGCTCCTCTGGTCAGAGCCTCTGCACCTATACGGATGATTCGGGTGAAGGAAAATATAATTGTATAGGCAGTGACCGCCAATGTTGCGGGCGCAGCACCTGCTCGACCCAAGAAGTCTGCATGGAAGGGTGAGTCGCAAACCCTCACTCTGTATACCTACCTAATGGTACTGATGACCCTTTTAGGGACACTTGTTGCCGTAAACAATCCGTCTGTGGGAATCAGTGCATGGCTCCGGGTGAGCTGTGCTGCGACAATCGCATATGTGGTGGAAAGTCGAGCAGCGGATCGATGACAGCCACGAGCTCCTCTTCGTCAGGATCGATAACCACCTCGAGAACTTCGACGACGGGCGCATCTTCTGGCACACGCACAGCGACCGGCTCCGATACGACAGACGACTCGACCTTGGCCACCGGCGACATTTTGAGCATCATCCAAACCGCTGTCCCAGCCGCGGCACAGACCGACCCTGCCTCTGCGTGTTTCCTATCATCCGACCACGACTCTGTATATACCACACCAGACTGGTACAGCGGCCTTCCCAGTCAGGCACAAAGCTACTTTTCCTCTGTGCATGCCGCATCCGCGTCCAACGGGTACTGTACTGCCGATGCCGCCTCAGACGGAAGTGGTCACGGCAGCTCTCTCTCAACAGGTGCGATTGTGGGGGCAGTCATTGGTTCGATTGCTGGCGCGTTGATTCTCGCCGGCCTAGCATTCTTCGCCTTGAGAGCTGGGTGGTTCGCGGCGTGTTGTGGGGGAGCAGCCGGGGCAGCGGCCGCGAGAGAGGATGGCTCCGAGGAAGAAGCTGAAAGAATGGGTAACACTCCCGTGCCATCATCCGTATCAGGCGGGCCTGAGATGAGCGGTGGTGGACGAGGATGGGGAAGCATGTCTGGCGGTAGCTACACAAGAGCGTCTGGCATGTCGGAACGCGCTCCAACAAGACAAGCAAGGTTCCCAGTTTCAGTTGAGAGCCGGCTGAGGGACGACGAGGGTTCAAAGAGAGTATCTAGATTATCTACGTTATCTAGACCAAGCACGAGAACGGTATCATCAGTGAGCACGACGGGTCTACCAAATCTGGAACATACTCCGTCACCCCCGTCACCTGTTTGGTCGAAGGGATGATATAAGGAACTCGATTAAGAAAAGTAATATACCAAAATTAATTTCTACTCTTCTAATCAAGAATTAATCATGCAGCTGTGGAATGGCTACTACTAGAAGGGATCACATAGTAACAGCACACTAACTGGTATGTATAAATTCGTTGTGTGAATTATATACATGTAACGTCATGAGAACACACATACAAGCGTAGAAGCAAATCATGCATACTACTTCAGCCATTCTTGTGCCCCTAGTCTTTGTAAATGACAAGGTTTTATATATATCTAATGCTAGGACCACATGCATGATCATCTGTATTCTAACTTGAATCTCTGGCGCAAGACGGTGACTGTTACCATGCTTCCCAACAGCCAATATCAGCGGATGTATTTCTTCCAGTCAAAGAAATGAGAAACCGTCTGTATACTGAGATGCCTATTCAATTGACATGCTGCTTCGGTGGCTCGGGAGGAGCTACCCAGTCAAACGTGCCGAACCTACGAGTCATCCAGACATCGCCTGGTTTTGTCGCCCCTCCAGGACCGCCGAGAATCGTCTGCGGATACCCAAAATCAAACGGCACGGCCTTCTCAATGTCGGCAATCTCCTCCTTCGTCAGTTCAAGGCCCAAAGCCTCGATGCTGCTCCTCAAGTGCTCAATCTTGCGTCCACCCACCACCGGGAAAATGTAGGGGCCTTTGGTTCTAGCCCACGCCAGAGCAACGCTGGTGATGCTAGTACCTCTCTCCAAGGCAATTTTCTCCAGAGCATCTGCAACGATGGCTTTCTCTGGCTTGTCAGTCATTGCTACGTTGCGGCCTTCTCTCTTTGCTTCGGGATTCTCTCGCTCTGCCTGTCGTTGAGCAGTAGTCCGGAACGCTCCAGATCCCAAGACGCCATACGGGATAAGCGCCATGCCCTGGTTATTGCACATGGGAAGAATCTCACGTTCGATGTCTCGTTCGGCTAGGGACCACTGTCCTTGATAGACAGAGAACGGGGTGAGTCCTTTCTGTCGCGCATACTCGTTGGCCATCGACACTACCCACGCGGGTGTATTTGAGATGCCAAGGTATAGCACCTTACCGGATGAAACGAGATCGTGAAGAGCATGCATGAGCTCTGGAGTGCTAGTGGTGAAGTCCCACGAATGGACGTAGAACTACGCAGATTGAACGATGAGCCGCTGAACCTTGCACAGCATATTTGCCACAATAGGTAGCAGACTTACATAGTCAATGTAGGAAGTCTGAAGTCTAGCCAGGCTTGATTCAAAGGCCGAACGCATGCTCTTCTTGTTGTTGCCCCCAAAGTTAGACTGGATGCCGACTTCTGGGTTGAGCAGCTGGTAGGACGAAGTGTACTTTGTAGCAAGGACGATTTCATCACGGTTGCCGCGTTCCTTCATCCAATCGCCAACAATCTTCTCCGATTCTCCATTCTGGTAAACATTCGCACTGGAGCCCAAATAGTCAGCGACGTATCAAATGAGTGCGGTTTTGGGGGCTCCAATCATACGTGTCAATGAAGTTTCCTCCATTATCGTAGAAGAAATCAAGGAGCTCAAAGGAGGCTTCCTTGTCACATGCCCCCATCATATCTTTGAACACTGTGCCGAAGCCCATCGTTCCGAGGCAAAGCGGGCTGACTTTGACGGCAGCATTCGGGGCGAGCTGCCGATGGTAGCCCAGAAAGCTCTTGGGCTTTGGTGCCACCGTCATCAAGTTTGCCATTTTGCAACGAGAAATGTCTGCTGTAAGTTGAGAGTGATAAGAATGAAGAAATCGGTTCCGGTTGTTTGTCAATTTGAATGTTCTGAATTCAAAGGGCTACTTATTGCTGGGGATTTTGCCACTTATATACTTCTATAGTTGTGGAGGCACGTAGTAGTTAGCCCTTTCGGGTATACGAAGTGAGGCTTTGTTCGAAACCGCTTTCGGTATACGAGCTTATCCCCAGTACAGTTCTCGTCCACAATTCGAGATCTTCGATTTGCATCATTAGAAGCGTATGTAGTATATGATCAAGCTAGTGATTACGAGTTTAATATCTCGATGGAGAGATTTCCACGACCAGAGAAAGACCATTTTCTGAACAACTAAGCTGGCCACATGATTTGATTTGAGCCCCCAATCTCCCAAGTCCCGTCCACGTTTTTATTGAATCCAAAGTATTCCGTTATATTCAGAATATTCTGATCCCAGATGCTCGGCCCCCTGGTGTTGAGACGACCTAAAATCTCAGTGCACATGACCTTTGAACGATGATATGCCCACCAGGCCCTCCCTGATAGGAGTGTCCAACTGCTCGCGTAAAAGCTCAGCATGGTAATCAAGGCCCTGTGATCCCCCCTTTTGATTTCGTCTTGGAAGTCTTGCAGGGCTTTCGAGGGCCACATAAGCATGTATGTCATGACTGCCGGCATTATCATGGAGAGGTCTTCGCCTTGTCTAGTGGCATCAAGTGCATGGAATACGGGCCCGAGCCGCTCCGCGGCATTGACACTTCCGCAGCCCGCAACGCAGGCATGGTTCGGATGTCTAACTGGAGCCTGCGACTGGTCGAGGAATTCTTGTCCGAAGTCGTACGAAAAGTTGGTCTGTTCGGACCACTCGTAGAAGGACTTGACGGGTTCTGCTTCGAGGTATGCTTGTAGCATACTATCCTTGGGTTTCAATTTGTATATAGTTACAATAACAGTCTTGATACCGGCTGCAAACCACAATAGCCCATCCGATTCGATCGTCGTCGAGTCTTCATCAGAAGTATTGAAGAATGGCACCGACCAGGCATAGTAGAGGAGGATGAAACCACATGCGATCACGACATCACATTGGGCCTGTGGTAGACTTAGGCCACTCAAGCTTGCTCTAAACCCCGATAATGCGCTATCTAGATGCAGTGCTGTTGCTTTTCTGTGCTCGCGGACTCTGGGCTGCAGATAAAGCAGGTGGGATGCGCTGATAGTCATTATAGCGTGCATAAGATACTCATGCTACCCCAGGGTCAGCACCAAGGCTTGGAGCACACGAGAAAGTCGACAAACCTGTAAAGCAAGGGGGAAAATGTGCTTTTCCCAGAAAGGCTTATCGAACAGCAGAGTCTCAGATGTGAAATGTTCGAAATGGTACATCAGCTGTAGACTCTCTAAGTCAAAGCCAGGGATGCCGAGCTCTCCTGTTCGGGAAAGCAAACGTCGACTGATCACGCTGGACAACGGCAGGTTCTGACGCTCATCGTCGCCGCATCGATCACTCCCCGTTACGAGAGTCTCTTGACCATGGTGACCTAGACTAACAGATGTTTCTTTTGCCGTGCTAGAGCCGTCGAACTCACATGTCAAGCCTCTTTTGGAGCACTTCAGGCATGCTGGTCGACGCTCATCACACTGCAACGCACTGCGTCAGCCAACATCTCTTCCGACCGAGCAAATGGGACGAGTATGGCGTAAAAGCTATACGAAAGACCCCATTTTTCAAATGACGTACCTTGACTTTGCGAGCTTTGCAGGTGATGCACCCCTGTCGAGATTTAGCATGGAAACGTCGCTGCCGGACCGCCCTGCCCCGGTTGTCCACACCGGGCCCAGCCGGGGTGCTTCGAGACAACAGCGAGAATACTCCGAATTCTCCTGAGTTTGCCATCTTGTGAATACAGCCTAACTACGGTATGAATAGAAATGCCCAGGAAAGGGTTACGACAGAACAAAGAGTATCTTGAATGAGGTATTTGTATCAATGCCTCCCTACATAAGCACATCTCGTATACCATTTTAGGAAAGCTAAGCTGACTTGCGGTCTGAACACCAGTGGAGACTCGGATGATGCAGCCACAAATGGAATAGGCTCTTCAGCTAGCAGTATTCGCGATTGTAAGCCAACTTCGCCATGTGATTGATGGTCCTGTCGTGGCATTTTGGAAACCTGTGCCAAATGAAGGGATCCAGCAGCTATAAAATGAATCTCTAGTCAATGTGATAGTTTGAAACTACCTTCAATACGTTACAAATATCCCCGAGACCATAGAATGCTAGCGGGAATGCCGGAGCGACAACATTCAGCCAGGTCCACCCACTCGTGCACTGTGGAATTCAGACCAACTGCTCTAAGAAATATCAGTCACATTGTGCTTTGTCAGTATCAATCAATTTAGGTAAGAAGGAGAACATATAAACTAGAATGATATAATAGGATACGGCCAAAAATTGCATAGAATACCAGATGCTTTCGACTCGGGAATCTGCAAAAATGCTACATCATCCCAGCTAGGATTCTTCAGGCACAAGGTTTCGATTGGTCCGTGGGATGGAATGCAAAGTTATCTTTAAGCTACCTTTCGCCCTCCAGATGCGGCGGGTGTGGGAGGCGTTTCCTGGTTCTGGAGTTCGCTTCTATTTGAGTTCAATATTTGAGCCTGTGGCGGTGCACAAAGCAAGACCGGGGTGAGTAGGAATGCGCCTTCTTTCTGACTAATCAGATGCGTCAATGCGCGTAATATTCATTTACCCCGCGATGGCCCTGCGGCTCCCCAAGTTTTTTACCCCTCATACCACCATTGTTCACACCACCCTCTCCTCTACAACAAGATTCCCACGCACATTCTCATTTCACCATGTCGCTCCAAGTTGAAGTCACCCAGCAGGGCAATGGCGGTCGAGAGGCCAAGGCCGGTGACAGCGTGTCTGTCCATTATCGGGGCACCCTCGCCTCCAATGGGGAGAAATTTGATGCCAGTATGTTGCATTCAGGGCATAACAACTAGAACAAGCAGGCCTTATATTCTTCGACAAAAAATACTAATGAAATCCTGTGCAGGCTATGACAGGGGCCGACCTTTGAGCTTCAAACTCGGCGCTGGGCAAGTCATTCAAGGGTCTGTAGCCCTCAACTCTCCCAATTGCCTCCAAATTATCGAGAACTAATCAATTCAAAAAGATGGGACCAAGGCATCAAGGGCATGGTTGTCGGCGAGAAGCGGTTAGTCGACAACGTTCGGTTTGGGTGGCATAGTCTTTTACTGACCTCTTTCATAGCAAACTGACCATCCCACCCAGCCTTGGATACGGCGATCAAAAAGTTGGACCTATTCCTGCGGGCTCCACTCTCAGTACGTTTTTCAGAAACGAGCTCTAGTCTACTTGTGCTAATAACTTCCAGTCTTCGAGACGGAGCTGATGGCGATCAATTAATGATATCGACCTTTTGAGGGACGCATCAGGGGCCGGGATGGATGTCTTGATGCGCCAATAGTTCAATCTAGGATCGAATCAAACCGCAATCCACGTGTGCAAACCTGAACGTGCTCATTGAATGGCAATTCGTAGCTCTTGAAGTAGTTGTGAATCTCTGGCCTTAGAGATAAGCATTTAAATCATCCATGACAGTGAATCTCATCATCTGTTTAAAGCGCAGCTGGAATAGAATGATATAGCTTGATCAATTGGTTAAAAGGCAAATGAATTATAGTCCCGTATTTTATTCCTACATAGTCTTTAATTGAGAGAATGATGAACGTAATTAATGTTGAGAAGACTGAATTCCGCTGTCAACAAGTCCCCATGTATGAGCCGCTACTGTGTTCATTTGCTCCTTCGTCCAAATCGTCTTGTTGTCAATCAAGCGCCCCTTGTTGTCAATATTGTTCCAAAATCTGCCTTGTTTCTCGCCATCGGAAACGCGTTCGGAAACCCCGTTGAGAAGATATTCTGCGCAAGTCTCAGGAGGCACTGTAAACAGGTGGTTCGCGGCCTTCGCCAGCGGCTGAACGAATCGTGGGAGTTCTCTCAGCAGACTTGTGTTGACAGCCCCAGGCCAGGCATGTATGAAATGCCGCTTTCCGACTCCATGCTCTTGCTGCTGGGCGGCGAAATGCTGGATCATAACATCGTTCATTACCATGCAGTGGTTGGCTGAGGTGCTGAGGCCAAAGTTCGATTTCAGGTCCAGGTCGTTCCAATTCAACTTGTCTGGGTTTCCAAACTTGCCATCATACACGATGACGACCTTTCCATCTTCCTTCAGTATAGGAAGAAGTTCCCGAATGAGGAGCTGTTTGCCGTAGTAGTGCAGTGCCATTTTCCGGTCAATGCCCTCCGGCGTCTCAGTTCTCCCAGCCGTTGTCATGATGCCTTGGGTCATAATGAGCAGGTCCAGTTTCTGGCTCGGAGAAGACTTGAAAGCGTCCGTGTATTTCTTGATCTGGTACATGGACGTTGCGTCCAGCGGTCGAAATTCCATGTTGGGATGTGAGATGTGCTTGGGCTTTGTGCGACCGCTGATAATGACTTTTGCTGAACCAGCCTGAGCAGCCACACGACAGGCCATTGCGTAGCCTATGCCGCTGGTTCCTCCTACCACGATCGCTTTAGTTGCCATTTTTCAGTTTTGGGTTGGGGTGGGTATGATTGTGTGAGTTGCTCTGGGTATGATTGATCGACTGATACAAGTTGGATTAAGATTTCAAAGTTCAACGGATAGCTTGTTCTTTAATAAGTATTCAATATCTGTTGGATGATGCAGGCTGGGTTGCTATCTCCGGAAACGGTGTTAATATGGATTTGAGGCCACACGCTCAATCCCGCGGGATTGATCGCCCAGTGCTTCTTGAAAATGTCTGCCAGCCACGGAGCAGAGTTCCTCCGCCCTCCAAGCCGGACTTAGCTCAGCTCAGTTATCTAGTTCTGACTGCGCAGCGTGCGTTCTTCCTGAAAGTAATATGATCTATTGGTACTGAGCTGAAGGGTTTGAATCAGTGAATACTTTCATAACCCAAATACCTACTATTGGATTTGACAGTGCATTCAATTTGTATAACTGCCACGGCGATTATGGATTCTGTCAAATGGTGGAGGTGGCGGGCACATAACGTTCCGGCCCTGCTGAATGTTCCCCGAAATCCCCCCTAGCACGCACGCGGCGATATTAGTGACTGATCGCCTAATTCCGGTCCCCGAGCAGACGGAACTACACTCCTCCGAACATAACTTGCAGCCTCGGACGATTTCACTGATTTTGCAGACCCTGTTACTTTTGATCATTATGTTAGTGTTTATTCATAGATTTCCAAAATTATTAGAAATTCCAGACATAAGCTTTCATAATAAGTAATACATTGCTTCAATAGATATACAATTTTTCTCTTGACAAATTAATTCTAGCATCTATTATTTAGGTAGAAATCTTTAGGGGGTGAAAATTCCGATGTGAGCTAAGCTAGAGGCTTACCGGCGTCCGTGAGCGAGCTTTCCATGCCACCACAACTTTACGGAGTGTATGAGTATGCTCATTTACCCGACGAACCCTCCTCCGAGGGCTTGTCTGCCTCTTTCTTAACACTCTTCCACTCCATAGCCACGCTGCCAAAAATGGTCAGCGCGGACAGCACGAGGGCGACTGTGTACACCTGCACCAGAGCGCTGTTATATGCCTCCAAAACCGCTGGCAGATCGTCAGCCGGGACGATTGACAACACGTCCGTTGCTCCAGCATTGGCAATTTGAGACGTATCAAAGTCGCTACGGTCGCTGAACGCCTTCGCCAAATTTTCCACCAACTTGTTCTGTAAGACTGCTTGCCCAACAGAGACAAAGATGGAGCCGCTCAAGAGCTGAACCAGCATGACTATGGCCGTCCCCGATGCAATCTCTGCCTTTGGTACGACGTTTTGGATTGCAACGAGCGGCTGTTGCTGGCCTAAGCCGATTCCCAATCCGATCAATGCTTGGTAGCCGACCCATTCTGAGAATCCCGTGTCCACTTTCCATGTTGTCAACAGCCCCTCCCCAATAGGCGTGATAACAGATGAAAGTATGAAGAAGATTGTATCTAGAAAGAGTTAGTGATTTTCGGTAAATACAGGTTCTTCCAGCTTACAATAGCCAAATTTGGACACGATAGCCCCGGCAAGCATCACCGTGATCACGACTCCGATCATGAAAGGGAGGAGTCTGATTCCCGAGTCCACAGCACTCACGCCATGAATAACCTGGTGCCAAAAGGGGATGTAGTATACAAGCAGTGTCATGGCACCTCCATTGCAGAAACCGTACCAGGCAGCTGCCGCCACGCTCCGACTAGTCAAAAGACGAAGAACCAGGGTCGCCTCCTCTCCCTTCCAGTGCTGGAATGCGATGAAGACGATAGACAAAAGACCGAAAAGAACCAGCAATGCGATGATGCGACCGTTGCTCCACGAGTATTTTGATCCACCCCACTGCAGGGCCAGAAGGAGGCAAACGATGGCGGGAACGAGCAACAACGTACCTAGGAAATCGATACTTTGGAGTTTCTTTACAACAGAGATTGAATCCAACTCTGGTCGCTTAGGTTCCTTGAGGACGAGAAGAATAGCCAGAATGGTGAAACCTCCAAAAGGTAGGTTTATGTAGAAGCACCATCGCCAGGTTAGCTTGCTGGTGAAGACTCCGCCTAGCAGAGGACCACAGACAGACGATATGGCAAAAACAATGCCGAAAGATGCGATAAATAGAGGGCGAAGACGTAAGGGGACGGAGTATGCGATGATGGCCATGCTTCCCGAGGTGACACCTGCGCCGCCGAGGCCAGAGACGGCACGCCCGATGATCAGGGCAGTACTGGTGGGTGCGAGGGCACATACTAGGGACCCTAGTTCGAAGATGGAAATGGCAGCGATGAAGGTGTATTTTATCGAGAATTTAGCGTAGATCTTGCCGTATAGAAGTTGGAATGCAGCCTGAGTGAGGAGGTAGCCTAGAAAATGTTAAGACGGTACGGCGACACTGCGTTACTCTCTGTCCACCTACTACTCCCATACCATCCTACATCTGAAATCTTATGAAATTCATCGGTAATTCTTGGGATAGCATTGGCCACGATAGTCCCGTCCTGTACAATTAGCGAGTGCCTTTCGCAAGCGGAATGGATCGAAATCATTCCAGGATCCTAATCTTACTAGAGTGATCAAAAAGATAGAAAACCACAAGGCGGCACCAATTAATATCAAACTGAGGATTGGGAGAGTCTTTTCTTGGGGGACTGCCTCTTGAATCTCAGAAGGAGAGGTTTCTGAAACTCCCTTTGGGGCTTTGGAGGAGGATAATTCTCCTGGTGGAGCATGTTTCTCAGAGGACATAGCCGAACCTAGTGCGTCCCCATCGTGAACTTGATTGTTTGACATGATTTTAAGGGTGTTTTTGATATTTTGACGATATTCAGGATACTTGAACTGAACCAACAGGACAGGACGAGTTGAGATGTCTCTTATACTAAAGCTAAGCCTCAGAAAATAATTTACGATAGATGTTCCAAAGTGCTCAGGGGCAAATTATGACGTGGATCGCGTTTCTTACCCAAAATCGACAAGCAACGGACTTTTCGGAACGATCACATATCATTACATTAAACAAGCCAATCTCACCCAACTCCTCCTGTGTTCTGGAAGTTATTCAAACCGCCCGCTAGGGCAGAATCGTGAGTATTCTGTGGAGTTAATTCCCGAATCTATCCAATCGGCAATGTATATTAATGTCTGAGGTGGGCCATTGACAGGGATAGCATTCCCTTCCTGATTGAGTTAAGGCTCGTTCGTGATTTCTCTGAGCCAGTTCCCAGTTCCCTTCATCTCCAGTGACTACCCTTCTGCATCTTAATCGTCTGCTAGAATCATCCGGGGTTTACTTCCGGGGGCTCCTAGGATAATATTCCTGTCTCAAAAGATATGTCAGTATGTGGGAAGGACACGTCACTTCCTTCCGTGCCTCGTTCCAAAGGCTGCCTCACCTGCGTTGCCCGAAAGTCACGCTGTGGTAGGTCTTCGTCTCCTTACCATTCCATACCTTTGTCGGCTGACTCCTAGTGTAAAGATGGTAGAAGACCTACTTGCCGAGCTTGCGAAGGCCGGAAACAGGTTTGCAGAGGATACCGCAGGGACAACTTTGTGTTCCTGAATGACGGATGGCGAGCTCCTGGCGTATCCAAGGCAGGACGCAATAAGCCCTCGAAGCCTAGGGATAAATCGCTTGCCGATGCCAACCGAGGAGAAATAAATGACTCGGGAAGTCGGGTTCTTGTTGGGCCCGATCCCTCTATCATGGCGGCATCCCCACCTCTATACCGGAGCCCGTCAGTTGACAGAACCCAGCTCAGCGCAGCCTTCTTCATGACTGAGTTTGCAACGAAGTTTCTCACAACTCCGCATTTCATGGCCAGCTTGTTTCGCACATACTTCTCTGTTGATTGTTATGGGACTATCAATGCTGGCGCGAGCGCATCCCTCAGGTTGCCAGCCGTATTGGCTGTCAATGCTCTTGCCCAAGGGCATTTCGGCCGAGCTATGGGCGACGCAGTATCTGTACAGCAAAGTTTCTATCAATATGGGCTCGCCTTAAAATCAATGTCATCGTCCATCTCTGCTTTAGGGTTCGTCGATCTCACCCTTCCTGGCGTATGCGAGGAGAATTGGCAGCATATTCTTCTGCGTTGTCATGGCTTTCTGGGAAGTATGCATTCTACCCATTTGTGTCCACATGGGAAATTTCCATCATTAATTCTCTTACTTAGCTCAAAATGTGCCCCGTATCTACAAACTGGCAAAGCCACATCCGCGCTTTATCTGACGCCATTGCTCTCAGAGGGGAAGACCACCCCTACTCTAAAACAAACAAGCAACTCATAGCCGCTTCGCGTTTAATGATTGTGAGTTATTTTTTTTTATTTTTTTTCAATTTATTTCTTCTTGTAAGATATCAAAAGACTAACCGATTATCGCCCCAGTCATTGGAATCACTCTCTTCTAGGCAACTGGGTAGCCTGACACCTTACGAATGGCGAAAGAGGTCTACCATCCGTTCTGCCTGGCTTACTGAGGCCAAAACAACGATATACACCAGCCAGGATCTGATTCCATCCCGGGGGAACGAGATATATACGTTTCTGGATTCTTTGATGGACTCTCTCTCCGCGTTGGCGACTCTGATAGGTCGATATGACCATCTGGTCATTAAACTTCTTCAGACTGGCAGGGTGGGCGACGGTGAGCTTAGTCAAGCTTTAATTGGGCTGTATCATGAAGCGGAAACCCTGTTGAGCCAGACAGAATTATCGGCTACGGGATGGCAAACAATGGTTCATGAGGTTCCAATCACCGAGTGTCAATCGAATCCAAGCGGTGACCAAGAGGAGGCAAAGGATCATTCGAAGTTTTGGCATATGTTTGAACAGGACTTGCACTCATTATTTGACACCCTCCTTCACTTCCACTCGATGCACGAGTATCAAGCCTTCACGCTGTACTGGACCATTGTCATATCATTACGCTTGCAGCTTAGCGATGTGGTCTCGATGATGATGGCCATCAACTCACAATTTATACCTGCCGATCCTGAAAAGGAGATCCATCGTCACCGCACCCAGCTCGTCAGGTATGCGGAGAATGTTCTTCGGGCCATCGCCTTCGCAGAGAACGTCGCCAACCGAAGACTTGCGCCCTTTTTCATCACAACCGCTTTCCAGATGACGACCGTCGTGCTGGAAAAGGAGTGCGAGGTCCTGCGAGGGGAACACGGGAATCTGGAGATCATCCACAGGTATGAGGCGATGAAGGCCCTGGCGTGGCGATACATGAAATGGGGCTTGCAAAGTAAGATCCCGATCAAACTGGACACTACAGGCCGTCTCTCTTGAACTCGACACAAATTGCCAACTTGGTGGCCTCACAATTATCACGCTGCAGTCAGGGAAGAGGTTTTGGAATGTTTACGGATGAATTTGTCATTAATTCTGAGGCACTACCTTAACACATCGAAGGAAATGGGCTTAATCACTTCTCTGGCCAGCCAAGCGCCAAGTGTTTTGAAACCGCATTCACGCAAGGCGAGTTTGGGCTTCTTGCAAAAGGACCGGGGCAGAAATACCTCTGAAAACGGACGGTGGTGGTGCATAAGCCACAGGGCTGATCAGCGGCACATGAGGCAAGGCGTCTTGAAAATGGGCGTCCATAAACGGGGCAGGAAACAGCCAGTGACTAATTGAATGGTGCCCTGGATCGATTTATTAACATGCTGCGTTGGCCAAGACTTCAATGCTATGTACTTCTCAAACAAGAAATTAGGCGCATACTCTCAGGAGGTCTCCGCCTCTGTTCAACCAGTCATAGCATGGATGCTCTCAATATCACACTATTTATCAAATCAAGCTACTCGCGAATTGTGTCCCTCAATGGGTGAGGAGTATCAGAGCATGTGATCAGATCCACGTTGCATCCGCCCAGCCACTTGTTTCATGCTGGTCTAGAGCCGCGTCGGCTGGGACAACCACGGCACAATCGATTCTTAGAAGGATACGGCAATGCTCTCAATTCGTCTGCCTATTGGTCTCTTTCTGACGATCACGGAAGCATACGCCTTACAAGGTCCTTTTGGGGTTGGGGGCACCACTTCTAAGCCTTATCTGCCGGCACCGTCTTTCTCAGGCCCCCACTGCCATACCCACGTGTACAGGGTCAATGGGCAGTAAACGGCACTGGCTACCATGTCGATCTTTTTAGTAATTCTTTTGAATGAATCCTTTGATGGGTCTGGGGAAAGTTACATGCTGTTTTCAGCCGCTGTGGTTTCCACAGAGCTGCCGGCAACATCGTCCTTCCTGGAACGGACTGGTCACTGTCACGACTTTCTACTTTGAGACGAAGCTCCTGAACGAGGGATTTTGGTTTGAATATGATGCTATCAGCCCAGTCTGCGCCTCCAACAATAAATGTCACTTCTTTGGGATGACCATTTCGTCAGTAAATCAAACCTCGGCAACTATAAGACGAGTCCTAAACCCACGCATCTCCCCCAGCTGCCGACTGTCAGAACCAGAGTCCAAAAGCCTAGTGGCTCCATCAACCACACATCTCTTGTTCAGACTTCATCTCATTTCTGGAAAGCGCGAAGCAACTTAGAACATGCATTCCTCTCTTGTCGCTATCCTTGGTGCCTTGGCTATCGTCCAAGCCCAGCCCACCCACAACGCCAAACGTGACATCATCACAGCTCTCCCTGGAAGTGCCGATGCCACTGAGACTAAGTTCCAACCGCTGCTAGACTTTGACTCCGACGGCTGCTACAATACCGCTGCTATTTCCCCTGATGGCACAACCAACCCTGGAAAGGGTGCGACTGGTACTCCCCAGGGCGGGTGCCGGGACCCTCCTCAGCTCCAGAACAGCAATGCGTATTCTCGAAAGCGCTGCAACAATGGATATTGCGCCGTCATGTACGAGTACTTCTTTGAGAAGGACCAGGCTATTGGAGGAAGCTTCCTAGGTGGCCACAGATTTGACTGGGAGAACATCGTAAGCTTCTTTCTTTCCTCAAACGCCGTTTTACAAGTCACCAGCACTAACTCTGACATAGGTGGTCTTTGCCAAGGGCGACCAGGTCGTTCGCGTCGCACCCTCATGCCATGGAAAGTACGATAACGCCAGAAACGACTTCCCCCTTTCTGGAAGCCGGGTACAGGCTGTGTATCACAAGGATGGTGCTGGAACCCACTGCTTCCGCTTCGCCAACAGCGATGACATTGCCCACCCTGAGAACCCCTTTGGTTATTTCTATACCAGCCCTCTGGTTGGCTGGAATAACTGGCCTAGCAGTGACCTCCGGAACAAGATGCTCTCAACGTGGAATGGCGGAGTTGGCCCCAAGTTGGATGACGAGTTCACCGATTCGCTCAGAGCTGCTGCTGGGTCTGGTGTGCCAGGTTTCGATCCTGCACTTGATGCCTAGATAATTATAGAAAGATAAAAAATTTGTTTATCGGTTCCAAATATGTTAGTCTGGATCATCCATCATCCGTCTTGGGAAAATCCATGCATCTACCGCTGGCCAAGTGGTGAAAGACAGAACTCGGCATGTAAGCCATCTTGGAAATTCACAAAATCTTCCTTCTCGGCAGGTCCACCAATTTCAACTTGTGGTTGTTGAGTCAGCGTTGCCATATGACAGGTCTGAATATCCATCTCACCACCGTTTACCGAACTGTATAAACTTGACTTTGAATGTAAACCTTTCGGTGGCCTCAGCCTCACACATAACACACATTACAAAGGCGGCTGGCTTGAGACGTCTTGCTAAGATCAACGTGAATTTCTTCCCAAACAATTCATGAATAAGTCCCTCGCATATGTCAACGAAACCCAGCAGTCGACAGAGGGAGCAGGTCTCAACTCGGTAGCCACAGTGCCTGGGCCTAGGATCCTTACGCAGCATGAGCGGCTCATTGATTGCATTGTTTCTCTCATGGACATGGAAGTCATGAACTGCCTTGACCTTCTGCAAATACAGCGCCTTCACCTAGTACCAGAACATGCCAAAATCAAGCATAAGGGAGAACGGCTGACTGGACCTCCAAAGTGGCGTCAATATACCTCTTGATGAGATCAGGTGGAAGAATTATTCTGGAAGTTCCCTCGGGCCAAGCTCTTGGTGGTGGCTAGAATAAAGTTTCGGCGCGGCAACCATAAGCGGGTGCGGCCGACCCTAAATGCGAGCCGTTTGCCTCTATGTGGACGTCTTACCTCAAGAAAGGGCCTTGGGGATCGGGAATCTGAACTCTCAGTATCATCTTGTACGGGAAATAATTAGACCTGTTGGATGACTTTTACATCGTAACATTCTTCGCGGAATCGCTCTCTCTTGCTAGCCACTTCCTCTATCATAAAGCAAATGGGGCATTTCTATTTGAAATTCCACATAAGTGATAGCGCTGTCATTTCGCCTGATTCGTCTACGTACTGCCAGTATGCGTGCTTAGCTTGGCACTTATCCAGAATGGTTTAAAATGATGGAATGTTATTCATTCGTTCTTCTAGTGACATGTTGTTTTATTTGAGTTGGTTGAGGATTGGCTCAAGTACTTGCATCTGACAAACAACGATTATACCGGGGATGATAAGCAAACTACGTCTTATTAACAATATCTAAGTACCTTCAAGCTCTACGGGTATTCACGCAGCTTAAATCATCACATGGTCTGCTTTGCTGTTCACGGTGTTTTGCTGATATATACTATAGGGTAACTATGCAGTCCCCTCGCCTATGTCCTTTGCCAATCGAAAGAGTATCTTTCTTTCTAATAACGCATATAAGCTTCTGATGTCTGCTAGTACCCTCTGTTCCGGGGGGTATGAGGGTCTGTTGCGTTTATGAAGGCCTTTAGAGGTCAGAGTACTCAACTGCCTAGTAGTAGAAGCGTGGCACTTCTCAAATGCATCTTATCTATATTTGTTATTTTACGAAGCACTTTGTAGTTGTCACGACCTTTTTTGAGAAGATGAACCTCTCAATTTCTACTCCCAAGTACATTCCACACGTGAAAGGAAGCATTGCGCCAAATTTAGCCAAGACTGAGAACAGCAGATTGGCCATGCTTCTTTCTGATTCCCGGGGAATAAGCCGAGGATTTTTTCTAGCCCACATAATTTATAGTCGTCATATATTGATTCGATTATTCTGGCTGAAGACAGTTCTATTTTAGGGAACAGGTTCTCTCGATATCTTGGCCTTGCAATGTACCTCAGATCGGAGATATTATTTCCTCTGATGTTCGATATTCAAGCAGTCGTCCAACTTGGATTTACGTTTTAGTACCGACTAGTTTACAATCCTACCAGTATTGAGGTTGGGAGATGATAGAAAAACTTGCATAAATTTCCCACCTAGCATCGTTGGCATCAATTGACTCCATCGCGACTTGAAATTCTCTATTTATCGAAGTACGACGTTGAGGAGGTACGCTCACAGATTCTTGAAGGAGCCAAATCTTGAGGCGGTGGCTGACAACGCAATGGAGGAGAAAGTTGCGGACTTTAAAGAGTATGTATACTTATTACCTATTGTTAGCTGATAGAATATTTGCCGGCCAAAGCAATACCGGTGCGCAGACACTAAATAGTGGTAAGCCCGCAAAAGGCCTTTGCTCAAGCTCCGTGTCAAATCACGTAGGAGGAAAAATCGAAAGGTTGATTTATCAAGTGTTGCTCGGCGTCCTTTAGTGACCAAAGGCCGTAGACTGTTTCCGTAGATGTTAGGGCTTGCGAATGAACGAATGTGGACGCGTGACTCATTGGATGCTGCAGTTCGCAAAACGAAGATATACTCCGGAAGTTTAATCTTCTCGAGGCTTTAATGTTCAAAATGAACACCTAGCAGCCCACTTTCTCTGATTTCAGCATGTTGGAAGTGTGAGGTTCACTATAGTGTCGAATAATCGACCCGTTGAATGGCAAGCCTTCACTGGAAAAGATGGAATTCTCGCCATCAGGTGAAACTCCTGTCAAGGCAAGCACGGTTTGGTGGATGTAACTCACCTAAATTCAGTCAAAAGCGACATTCAATGCAGTAAAACAACTCCGAACGACGATCGCACACTGTCCGCTCAGTTTGGGAACTGCCTTGAGCGCTATGCAAGTGTTGAGTGTTGAAATGACACCACAAAGGCACGGCCGTGGGGATGGCAGGGGCATATGATCTTTAGTAACCATGAACCTGGACTCTCTCTATATTAGGGTACTTCTCATCTCGAAATACCCAGAGATCTGGTAATCACGTACCCAGATCAAATAAGCTTTGTGGCACCACCTTATGGCCTCCAGTCGGAGTCAGCATGCTTTTGCTGATCTCATGTTTGCTCTTTTATTTTGGTCTCTAATCGAAAGTTCATGGTACAAGGGGCTTGGCAGACTCTTCCTATCGCTCAATTCGTATCAAGATACAGGCACTTAAACTCAAGAATGAGCATGGAAGACGATCCCAGACGCTGCACAGTTTATCTCACTCAGTTCTTCTCCCCGGCCTGCCCTACGCTGCCTACGCGATGTTCCCGATCAATGGTATCCTCTTCCACACAGAAGGATTGCCATGTCAGAGACAAGTTATCACGGACCCAGTGTCTGGGAATAAAACTCCACACGTTCCATTATGCAGGCCGGTCTTCATTTCAGTCAGGGGGAATCCGTCGAGAAGTGGATGAAACAGGGATTGGTGGAGACTGATGAGAAGAAAGTGGGATGGAAAATTGGGAACACCATGATGCAGAGCGGAGAAGGACTGGATCCAGATGAACGAATATTGAAACAGGATGAATGTCTGATTCTGTAGTTGGATTTTCTGGATTATTTCCCCGTCTATGGCCCCATGGCGAAGAATTAGACACCTTGCAGTGGAGCGTCGTAAAGGATGGGCAGACCCTTGTAGGGTTGCAGACTTTCTTTCCGCGGAATTCTTTCCTTTAAGCGGCACGAATACCGTGGGGACAGAATTTTGTGATGAATCGAGGGTGGATGCATCCATCTCCTGATGAGTTTTGATCCCCATTTACACAAAATCACTAGTAAGGGGCACTGCCAACCCTTGCTGGTCATGAATCATTCCCGGCCGTAGCAGAACTCAGCTTCAAGGGCGGACTGATGCGACCAGCCCAGCACGCTTAAGTGCGGGCTAAAATAGTCGCCGCGTCGCTCGAGGTACTGCGTGCTTCAAGGCTGATGGTTCATCCCGTCGCGCATGTTGAAGGAGGGAACTGCCATCCCCGGCCGCTTCATGCATGGATGCAACCAAGGCTTCCTCATGCAGGCAAACACGCGATCCCAGGCTCGTTCGGGTTATTTTGTCAGCAACAGGACAGTAGGACTGGACTTATGCCCACCCTTGGGACTTGCGTGCTGTTCAGGGTCTGCCCATCCTTCCGACGCTTCACCGTGGCTAGTGCTGAGATAAACGGGGTCACATCCGTATCAAGACGTCCCCGGCACAAAACATCCGTGGAAACTCACTCATCCTTCGAAGCCTTCCAGTCAACAGCGAGAATTAGTCTAGCCAAGGCCTGATTCTAGGCCACGAGCTAATGTATGTCGTTGTCTGATATTCCAATCCTAGTATGCACTAAGCCTTGGCTGACCAGTCTCACATAGGACTAACAAGACGATCCTTCTAATAGGGCATCTCGGACGGTGGCCTCGAGCTAACAAACAGGAAATTTCGGCGATCACCCATCATGGAAACTCCCACGGAACCCACCTGAAATTTCTCGGGCAGCGAAGGGTAGATATAGAGCCAGGACAGAGAAACCCACCCAACCCACAGTCGCGGCTGAAGCGCGATTCCGGCATTACGTCCTCATCCACATCGAATGGCATGATCAATCCTAGACCCTGATTGCCGGGTTCAGGAATGGTTACATCCGGAATCCTGCAGTTCTTTGGGGATCATGCAAGTCTAACGGCCATATTATTAACACCTGGTGTGGGCCACCGTTTGGCTTCTGGAAATCTGACGAGGGGAATTGATCCATCAGTCTGGGGTTCCCTTCCTTTTTTTTTCCCTTCTGATTTTTCATACTTCTACGCATTGGCGAAATTCTATTCGCAGGCGGGTAATACGATCTCGAAGCCAGCAACACGAACCGGCCGACGTGCCAACGATAATATTTCCGACAGGAGGGGGGAATTCGAGAGGCCGCTTTGGGATTCATTACCTCAACACGAGGTCGTGATTTGGATTTTGCTCGACACGAACGGAACGATACATCAGTGATACGCGCTGGTCGCGAGCGGCTTCGCAGGTTACGATGACAAGCCTAACCCAAGATGCCCGTGAGAATTTCGCGGTCTGCTTGACCTTCATCATCCTCTGCGCAATCACAATTATTTTGAGGCTCTTGCTGCGAATGAGTCTCGGCCAGAGGTTATTCTCATCAGATTGGCTCTGCATCGCATGCTATGTGGTTTTTGTGGGATACTGCGCGCTGTTGATTAATCGTGAGATATTCCGAGGGGGTGAACGAGCTCGAACAAGGAAACGTACTGACTTGAGGGCAGATATCTTCCATGTATCAAAGTTGAAGGCATTTGGGACAATGTTCCTCGGGTCCCCCGAAATTCCGCTGGAGGAATCTCTCGACTTTCTGAAGGTAGTAGCCGCCCAGGGACGTCATGCATAAGATAGTGAGCCTGTTGTGCTAAGATGTCAATTTCTAGATGGCTTGGATTGCCGAGGTGCTCTTCACGACCAGCATCTCGTTGGTAAAGCTCAGCATCCTCGCGTTTTACTGGACGATATTCGCCGTCAACAACCTGCAGAAGAACTTGATTATCGGTACGACGGCTTTGAGCGTCGGCTGGTTCATTGCTTTCATCTTGCTCATCGTCTTCCAATGCAAGCCGATCGATGCGCTCTGGACACGCCCGACGGAAGTTGAGCTTTGCATTTCCTCGCCCGTCGTTCTTCTCGCCGTCGAAATCACCAACTTGGTCATCGACGTCATGATTCTCTGCATTCCGGCATTTGTCGTCGGTTCCCTTCGACTGAATAAGGTTAAGAAGTGGTCTGTTCTGGGAATGTTTCTGCTCGGCGCTGGGTGAGTGAGCTCGTGATATCGACTGGTTGATATCTCTCGCTGACATTCATTGTAGTGTCTGTGTGTTTAGCATTGTGAGATTGACCGTCATCTGGCAACCACCTGATGTTATACAAAACTGTGAGTTCTCTCCTTGCCAACTGGCTGACCAGGGCCTAACATGTATGCTCTCAACCCAGTCAACGCCGCCAAGACTCTCTTATGGTCTACTATCCAGCTCGGAACAGCCATCATCTGCGCGTGCCTTCCAACGCTGGGACCCCTATTCTCAGGAAGCGCCAGCCTCGGCTCCGGAAGCAGGTCGTGGTACGGGTCCATGAGAAACAGGAATAATGCCTCCAACGGGTACAAAATGTCGGATCATCAAAGCTCAAACCAGGGACGTCCGTGGGTTGACAATACGGCAGAGGAACGGTATCATAGTTCCGCAGCAGGTTGGGCGACACACGAGAACGATACCAGCGGGGATTCGGACCACGTTCCTCTTGATCCGTTGCCAGCCAAGCAGATTCGAGTACAGAGAGATATTGAGGTTCGCTAGATGGTGTCAAGGATGTATGATGTATATTTTTTACTATTAATTCTGAGACCCCTTAATAATTAGTCTCCCAAAAGATTTCAAGTACGGTCGTAGTTGTGCAAAGTATTTTCGACGCTTGCTCACCCCCTTCGGAGCAAATACATACATCCAATTGGCGTGTTTGATAGTTGATGAAACCAACTGTCTGTTGTAACTAGACCCTTTCAGTACTTTGTTCTAATTCATTCTGTCATACTCTGAACAAAACGACGAGCTCCGTGAGTTATTTGAGATAAAACTGACCTTGATGAGCTTGAATTTAGGCGGGTGAGAGAGTTCGAGTACAAAGTAAAAAACAGCAATGAAGATGCCATACTTGACACCGCAACATAATAAATACAAAAGGTTAAAAAAATAAGCTCTGCTAGCCCAAGGCTGCAGCAATGCAGGAACAAAACTCTATAAGCTTTCGTACCGATGACTCACTTGCCGTCGGGACGAGCCGCTCCTTAAATGATTATTTAACCTCCCCTCTTTCACCTGGCTTCACACTCGTCTTCTAAGGGAGTGAGCACACTTAGAGAAACTTACATCTCGCCGATGTCTTATAGCCTTTAGAGCAGTGCCTGAATAGTCTTATTTGGACCATCCTGCGACCTTTACAACAATATGGTTGTTTGGCTGTAGCGTTCCGAGGGCTACTTGAAGCGTACCGAGAACAACAGCCTTTAAAATTTCCTCCATCCTATTGTCTATTCAATACATTAATCTTAGTTTGGAGAAGTTGAATCCCCGTTGCCTTCATTTTAGTCTAGTACATAAGAAAAGTAGCATACTTTTTTTTTCAATCCCAACTTGATGGGCGAGTCACGACCAAGTGACTCGGCCATACTAATACACACGCGAAAGCATTCTTGTTCTACAATTTTCACCACACAACATTGGAGCTTAGCTCGACAGCTTCAAGCAGCAGTTGTAGTTGTATCGACTGCCTGATAGGTGACGTGAGCTCCAACTTTCTCCATGCCGTTGAAGTTGCTGCCACCATTGCCATTTGCGGTAGGGACGAGCTCGGCCCAAGGTTCCTCCAAAAATTTCCCATGCTTTTTGACGACAGCATCGTACTGTTCCTCGGTCCATTCGTTTTTGTCGTTCTGTTTCACCCAGAGGGTTGAATCCTCATATTCTTCCCATTTCCATCTCAGTCCAACGATCGGGCTGTTCGGTTGAGTCTCATCCTCCCTCACAAACCAGAAAACGCCAACAGTCCAGTAATCCCAATCGATCATAGCTCTCTCTAGAATTTCCTTGTGATCCGTCGGAAGGAAACTAAGCGCGTCTCGATTAAATCTATCCAGTTGACACGTGGACGCGTCTTGGCGGCCGAAGACAACAGCTAGGCCTGAGTCGGACTTGTTGCTCTCCTTGATGTCGATGATAGACGCTCCAAGGCCGTGGTAGGTTCCAATAAGGTCCTGAGCATTGCAATTGTATTTTCCTACATCTCTGTGCTTCCTCCACTCATCGACCATATCTCGGTGCTGGTCCAGTTTCCATTGCTTGGATTCTTCGAGCGAGAGGATGAGATCAACCTTGGGGCCCAAGTCGAAAACAGCTTGCAGCAGGATCTGAACGGTGGTGTTTGATGCATCACCAGCATCTGCTGCATTGCTCAAGGCTACCACTGCAATTCCAGATTGCGGTATCACGTACATGGTGGCGACAGAGCCATTGACGCATCCAGAGTGGCCGTATAACACTTGAGGCGGGGACTCTCTTCCGATGATGTACTCCTTTTTTGTAGGATAGGAGTTATATGAGAGAAGTGGTAGAGCAGCTGTTGGCAGGGTGGTGCGAAGCCAGCCTAGCATGTAGGCTGTCTTATTATCAAAGCCATCGTCACAGGGCCGAGTCCAATGCCACCTCCAGATGGAAGAAATCTGTCTTAGAGGATTCTCTTTGGATCCTGCAATCAATCCCAAGGTCTGTCCAAGACGCCAGAGCCTCTTGGACCAAGAGACACCCGATTCAGGCGCCTCTTTGTTCTCGGACGGGCTCTCCTGCTCCTTTGCATAGCGATCCATCACTGCGCCTCCAAACAGCAACATGTCACTCACAGAAGAGCGTATGCCAAGAAACGGAAGTGTATGACTGTGCCCCTCAGAGGTAAGGCCATTATTTATTTTATGCCATTCACCATCTTTCTTGACATATGGATGAGCCAGATTATTGCTATTAGTCACGTCACCCTCGGTGAGAAGGGTATCTTTTAGGCCAAGGGGGTTGCATATACGGGTTCGAAGAAACGTAGCAAAGTCCACTTTGGCAACAGCTTTCACGATCAAACCGAGTAGACCATATGCCGCATTACTGTAGTACCACCAGTTGTTGAACCGCTGCCCGTGCTTGTTCGCCGTTGGGAGGGCATTGATCATTTTCATATACTCATCCGACTTGATAGCTGGAGTGCCATGGGGGCCCATAAAGATGACGTTGGGATTGGCTAGCCCAGTCGAATGTCTGCAAACATCTCTGATGGTGGCTTTCTTTCCGATTTCGCGATCTTCCACAGGGTCGAAGTCATCGAGATGCTTTTTGACCGTATCATGCCATGATATCTTGCCTTCATCAACTAATATCCCCAACGTAGTGGATGTAAACATTTTTGCACATGAGCCGATGTGATAGGATGTATGTTTATCAGCAGGTTGTTCGTTCTCTACGTCGCGAAAACCGATGCTCTCGGTGAAGACAGTCTCGGGCCCATACAAGACACCAAAGGATACTGAGGGGGCTTCGCAGACATCTCTCGCTTCTTTGATTTTAGGGATGGCAGCCTCGAGTCGTTCTAGAACTAGACTAGATGTGCAGCAATTGCCGGGTTTAGCGCTTGGGGTCCGTTTGACACGTGTGTATGTGTGTGTGGATGGAGGGTGATGGTCGGGTGATTGACTGGGCTGGATAGTGGCCGGAGCTACTTACTCTTGCGATGTTGACTGGCTGGAACCATTCATGACTGCAGCTGGAGCCCGAAGACTGCCACATGAGTATGGGGTGAAGGGTGGTGGGATACGACGGTAAGGTAGTGTGGGCGCTCTGCTCCGGGACGACCAACACAAGGGTACGCGGCGCCAATGCGCGGCGCTGGGCAGGTTCTACGGGAGCGAGGCTCTGGGAATTTGTAGGATTCCCTTTGGGAGAGCCGCAAAGGGGCCAACTTGTACATCACCTCACATCCCACCCTGAGCGCGTATCCCCCTGTCGTTTAGCATTACAAATGACGGAGCTGAGAGTTTGGCTTGCCAGCCACACGAAAAATGAAGGGTTGGCTGAGAGGGCCGTGCCACCGCCATGACGGAATGTTGCAGGAGTGTACGCCCCCTCCTTTCGTGCCCGAAGAGATGCGACGCAAGCACGGCTATCAGGAGGCAAGAAATCCCCAGTAACGTGGGCGATCCCACGCCAATCGTTCCATACCGAAGGAATGCCAAACTGCGCATGTGGCTCATGCTTGAGGCTCTGCTTGAATAGCTCCGTGGCCGTTGATGAGGGCGGGATTTGGAGTATATAATTTGCCTCGCTCTCCTTGCTTTTTATGCTGATGCACTTTTGAATGCCACACACACACACTCCATCCCTTGAAGTGATACGAAGCAAATACAACGCAAGTAAGTCATATCATTCTACCTGTCTCCTACATGAACATTCCATTCCATACCCATGTCGCAAACTTTGAGTTCTGACTCTTGCTTTTCTTGTTTTCTCAGTCCGAGTCGAACGGAGAGTCGCTGATGGAGGATAAAGCCGACACATCAAGCCACTCTACTCAGGGGGGCGCTCAGGGGGGTGGCCCTGGTGGCGGTGGCGGAGGAGGAGGAGGCGGAAACGAGAGTTCTCCTGAATCCTCGTCCTAAGAACGACTTTCAGCTTGAACTCCGCGTCTCAGTTGAGTAGCTAGTCAGGCAAGGGTCAAACAATGGGAAATCATTAAACCTCCATTTGAGTTCAACTAGCGGGACCGGACCGGCGATCTGGAGTCTTTGCCAGCCAAAGTCCGATGTTCCCGGCTACAGCCTGCAGGGTGCTTCCAGTTGAGGCTTATGAAACAATCTCCTCAAAGCTATTTATTGGTCAAGAATGGGGGGAATGCCTGCCAAATTCCATACCCTCCCAGCCCCTATTCTTCCCTTGCCCCAGAATGTGAAAGTTCTTTTTCTTCCGATTGTGAAATGCGTATGGCGGATGGGTCCACCATCCCCTATCAATCATATGGGCCATGGTTGCATTATGATATATCATGCTGTTTTACGACTCGTCACTGCTTCATCTCCCCAGATCAAATTAATGACCTCAGGTCTCGTTTTGAACAGGCTGTACTGAAATTCAAGCATTTCAAGCCCCGAAAATCTGCCTGAGCTCGGTTACAAGATTTCCCCCAAGCTTCCAGTCTAATCGAAACACGTCTGGATTACGGCAGCGGCATCCGGTATAATTTGTGCTCCGAAATCATTGAGTGGGCGTGTCAGCAGTGGCGAAGTTGATGTAGGTGATCAGCTTATAATCGGCATGATTTTTTGTTCATCATGGTGGCCAGCTTGCCAGCCAAGCCAGCCAAGCCAGCCAACAGCTTCGTACATATCAACCAACCAGGAGTACCACATGCGTGCTTCATTGTGTCGTATCGTGGGGGGCCCCTGACCACACCAACCCATCTCGCTGGACACCCAAGACACCCTCAGCTCCCCAATATTATTGAAAAGTGGGTGGAACTGCGGTACCAGCTTCCCTTTGGAATGAGGCCATTCCACCGATGGTAGCCTTGGTAGCATTAGTGCATCAATCCGGTTCCGAGCAACCCCGGTTATGTCTGACTTACTTGCAGCAATAGCTACCAATCCAGCCCTCGTCACTCCCATCTCCATAGAATGCCCGTCCGCGTCAGCATTTGGAGGCGTTCAGTCGGCTAGTCCAGTTTTCGATTTTAGCCCATCAGCAAAAGCCAAGGGCTATTATGACTTACCAGGACGGAGCAGATATATTATTGGAGGACAAAGGATCAGTATTCCCAATGAGATTCAGTGAGGCGAGGAAGCTAATGGGGGCTATGTGCTGTTGGGCTGCCTGCTAGAGTGCTTCGGTGTTATCTGATCTGCATAACGACGCAAGTACCTCCCCATGCATGCACTACAGCCAAGTAAAGTTGGATGCCTTGCTGCACATAATCTTTTTCACACCGAAAAGTTGACATGTCTTCCCCTTGGGCTACATTGCAGAAGGCAACCCGCAATGCCACCAGTACTAAACCCCAAAACATTTGCCTCGTTTTCATCGGGCAGCTTTCAAATATCGCCTAGAGCTACTCGTGCGCTTCCAGAAATAAGTCAAATAAGTAGGTATATCTACCATTATTATGAATATCAGTGGCAAGGAGAGCTGCCCCCATGCCCAACTACCCCTTTCCCCCACACAAGCTACGTAGGCACTCAAATCGATAGTCCAAGTTTGCCAATGCTCGTGATTGGAGGTTTCCACCGTCTCGGACATGCATGACCATTTGACCCTGATTTGGACAGAAGCACTGGCCTATCACCTGGCCCACCTGAACAACCATGGCGATCTGCGGGTAAGCACGGTAGACTCCCCACAGAGCCTTATTGCCCATGTGCGCCAGCTGGAGTCAAACCGGCCTAGTCAAGCCTTTGGCTGGAGTTATAAACTTATCACCCAACTTGAATCCTTCTCGTCGATCACCAGTCTTCTTGCTCAGGGGAACCCGGGCATATCCGCCCTGATCTGCACCCCACTGGCTTTCATCGTCGAGGTATGTGTCAAAGATCAGCCATGCTGTTATGCAAGATCACCCCGCCTCGTAATGTTGTGCTGACGAATCTTTTTCCCCTCCAAGTTGGTGTCGCGAGAGCAGCACATGCTTGACTTCATTGGGCAAACTTTCAGCCTATTTGAACAGGCTTTGCCACAATTCGAAGGCTACCTGGAGGAGTTTGGTAGCCGAGTCTTGCCACAGGGACTTTTGGACAGCCTCATTGTGTTCTATGCAAAGTTCATTGGCGAATACCAAGACGCGGTCAGATTCCTCGAGGGGAAGAGTATGTACTTGCTTTCTCTACTGAATCTAGCCCAACGGAGGGCCTATTGAATTTTTGCCTTTGTGCTCGTCAATGCAGTCGCACTTGGAAGGCTTCTAACCATCGCCCTTTTCTTACAGGGCGTCTACTATTCTTCATCCCCCGCGCCCAAAGGTTGAGTCGCATGCTTGAGCAACGGTCTTTGATTCTTCTCAATAAAAAGAAGTCCGTTGACGATGCGATCGAGCTTTTCAAATTCCAGATCGGACAACAACAGCAGCGCCGGAACGAACAACAACAGCGCCGGATCGAACAACAACAGCGCCGGGCCGAACAACAGCAGCGCCGGATCGAACAACAACAGCACCGAGAATTGATGAAGTGCCTTGAAGGATATAAAGACCCGACAATGGCCTTTCAGTTTTCCTTTACAGGCATTCAGCATAGAAGGAACCCTCATTTTTATTTTCGAGAGGAGGTACTTGCGGAGCTTCGCACTCATCTCATGTCCGGACGTCCATGTAATGAATATCGCGCAGCAAGCTTGCATGGTCTCGGAGGTGTAGGCAAAACCCAAGTTGCACTTGAATTTGCTCACCGGTATTGGGATGAGTACGATGCTAGATTTTGGATCAATGCGGAAACCGAAGCAAAATTGACGGAGTCGCTATATTCCTATGCACGCATGGTAGAGAATCAATCTCCCGTTGTTGCCGAACAGAAACTTGCGGCCATCAAAAATCTTCGTAGATTTTTGAACAAACCCTCCTCAACAGGTAAGGGATTTCATTCACAACCTCCTTTTCCCAGCTGTGAGGAGTGCACCAATAACAACGAGCATCTGATTTACCAGGGAAACCTTTTCGATGGCTGGCTATTTACGACAATGTGGAGGACGTACAGCTTCTCGAAAAATTCTGGCTTGAGGGGCCACATGGGTCTCTGATTCTAACGACGAGAAGCCCGGAAATTGCCCATGCCTGTGGAGGCCGTGATTTCCCCATTCCCCTGTTCACCGTTGATGAAAGTTTGGCGTTTATGTGGAAGATGAACACCAAGTCTGACAAGTTAGATAAAGAAGAAGTAGATGTGGCCAGAGGAATTGCGGACCGGACTGGACACCTGCCTCTTGCGCTTAACTCAATCAGCGCTCTCGCCAGGACTACATCCTCGTCATACAGAAGCTTTATACAACACTATCGTGACTTTGACACTAATATGCTCTTTCAAGATGATGAGGGGACATGGAGGGATTCAACATATGAGAGATCTATTCGGAACACGTGGACTATGACACTCACCTCAATTGACCCCCTGGCACGAACGCTTATGGAAACCATTGCCCTTCTTGACCCAGATGGAATCCCAACTGAATTATTTCAATGCCATGATAGGAATGCCAAGTAGGTGCTCTGCTTAGAAAAATTCACTTTCTCTAACCATCCTAGATTTGAGCATAATGGCCCGGCCAAGACCTTCCCTAAACTTTCAGATTGTTTGTCTGATAGATTCCCTGACCGCCTAACGTGAGTATCCTGTGTACATTGAAGTACTCTGGAGGAAATTTCTAACCTCATAATAGTTTTGATAACGCTGTTTCTGCGTTGTCGGGAAAAGGATTAATTACCAAAACCTGCGGTTCCGAGCGCCTCAGCTGCCATAGGATGATCAAGGAGGCAGTTCTGCAGTCATTAAGAAAAGAGGATTTGGAGCTTCATTTCGATTGGATTGTTTTCTCACTCAACGGTTGTTTCCCCCACACTGATTGCAAAGAAATGATGGAGACCTGGGACAAGTGTGCCATGTTTCACTCACAGATCTCTATGCTGTTGAAGATGTATAAACGTTTTTCAAACACGCTCCGGCCCCCCGTTCTGTTATGTGAGGTTGTCCGAAGATGTGCATGGTAGGTCACCTACCTCCTTTTCTATACAATCCTTTCACCCCCTCTGCCTAAATCCCCTCATTGACATCTGTTGGCTGTTTTCACAGGTACTTGCGAGAGATTGGCAACTTCCAAGCCGCCAAAGAGATGCTAATGGATGTATTCGACATCTTGGAGCAGGCGGTAGAGCGTCGTATCCATCCCGGATATTTCCCTCGATATATGCGACGTTTAACTGCCGAGTTATACAGCACCTATGGTAGTCTCGAGTACGAGGAGAATCTTCTAGGATATGGACGTGCCTGGTTTCAGAAAGCAGATCAACATAGGATGAAGCTCATAGAGGATGAGATTGCAACTTCTTTTGACATCTTATCTATGGCGCTTGTTGATGGCGACATCTCTCTCACATATCTCGCCGATGGCTTGCCAGACCCTAGCATTGGAACTTACAGCATTTTACTTGATACGTTCGATAATCAAAAGTTCGGCTGCACATGGGCTGCCAATCTGTCAATTGCGTTACGAGCCAAGGGAAACTTGGATGAATCGCTTGCATGGTGTACAAAGTCGTCTGAGTGGGGCACGGAGAGACATGGTGAACGCAGTCTAGAGATGGCCATGTGAGTCCCAAACCTCTCTCATATATGCAAGAGAATCCAATTATGAATTCGAAGATAACTAACCTCATACTATCACTCAGGGTACATTTCAATACGGCATGTACTCTTCTCTTGATGAACCGTGGTGACGAGGCCATGGCAGCACTAGAAAATTCTTTAAGAATTCGTCAAGAAAAGTCCCCGATGCATCGCTACCTGGGCTTCACCCAGCATAAGATCGGAGAAGTAATGAAGTCTCGAGGAGATTTCAAACGCGCAGAGTAAGTCTTTGCCGAGCTCGTATGTAATCCTTCCGAGAGATCGTGAATGCTGACCGCTCTTTCCCCCCTTTTCTTGGATAGACTGTTCTTCCGCACGGCCGCCAAGGTCCTGGAGAAGTGCGAGTCTTGCCAGGGAGCTGCCGCTCGCTCTAAATACTCCCTTTTCACCATCTTAAAAGACAGAGATCACCAGGAAGCAAATAGTCTAGCTGACGAGATTTCGATGATCTTGCAAGGCCTCAGGGATATCGTCGACAGAAATCTTTGGAGTGAAGATTACTTTGACAAGTTTGTACTGTACTGCCATCGATAAGCAAACACGAGTGTGGATCCTGTTCTTGAGGGAGTCTTGCGGTGAGGGAACCCTGCCCCTGACCAAGTTTCTTTTCTCTCTCATATCAATGGTCACACCGACGGGACGGATTATTTGGATTTTAATGTATTAAATAAAATGCCGTGGTCCACAGCTCACGTAAGACATACACAAGAAGATACCATCACAACCAAAACGTTCATCCCAGCCAAGAACGCAGAGTCAACCTTCAACTTGCAATTTTTAGCTTCTCCGTAAGGCTGCAGCCGGTGTAGAGTATGCGTTATTTCTAACTTCTTGGTAGGGCTCAAAATTTTCTTGATGAACTTACGCCAACGCATGAAGCCGCTCACCGACATTACATAAAGTTTCACCAGCGGGCCGACCTAGGTCACATCTCGAAGTTATACAAGGTGGTGGTCGCACTAGTGCTCTCAACATATTTTATGCCTATGTCATAGAAGATATGAAAGACAATCTACACCCAACATTTTTTGTTGAGTCACTAGGGTTACCGCAAAAGCCAATTGGCCTTACACCATGTAGAACTGATGGGTCTAAACACATTTAGCATAAAGACACCCAGAAACCTTTCAGACAGGCAGGGTCATGGGGTTCATTGTTTTGCAAGCACAAGGGATGACAGGAAATGATCTACCGAGATTTTCTGTGATCGATTATGCAAGGAGATAGCCCTTGATATGGACTCAGACCGAAGTCGTACAAGGGAGGCATGCAAATCTAGGTTTAAATTAGGGTTTCCAGCTCCCGTCCAAGCCCACGAACTCTAAATTTATTACTTTGCATGTCAAATTGCACACACTCTATCTATATCTCGCTCAACGAAGCATTGCAAACGCAGAAAAGTAACAGTAAGTTTGCGAATTTTTCTTCACCATCTATAGTGCAAATCCCTCCCTTGGCCTTCACTCTGACTGTCCGTAGCACGCCTAGCTGGCAGACGATTCTGGCCTAACAATGGCTCCCAACCTTACTGTTCAAGGTGGATCTGGCAATGGCCAAGAGATCCTAGGTTTCTCTACCCAAAGCGGAGGTGGCGGAGGTAGTGGAGGGGGAGGCGGAGGCGGAGGGGGTGGAGGAGGGGGTAGAAGCGCTGGCTGGTGAGTCGTGGCGGCAGTGCCTGTCCTGTTGACTACTAGTGGGTTGATAGAGTAAGGTATATCTACGGCTCAGCTACTAGCTGAACAGTGATTCAAAATTAATCAAGGGTTGCTTCCCAGAGCTCGCATTTCAACAATTGTGAGGATACTTTTTCTATGCTCATACTTGGTTTTAGCTTTGCACCACTCTGTGAAAGGTTTTCTGTACGCGGGAACTTGGTCACCTTTGCGTACGTATGAGCTTCTCGGGGGTCACAGGGATATCCTTTGTGTTTCCCCTCCTGGATACAATAAACTCAAAGGAAAAAAAAAAGAGAAAAAGAAAAAGAAAAAAAAGGAGAAAGATACGTCCGCTAGTATCCTCAGCTGTTCCGAGGCCAAACAAGCGACTTGTCGAGAATAGATTCATAATGAGAACCTCTTGCAAGGAATATTACGTAAAGGTGCACCATCATCGAGAATTAATCATAAAGCCTATCCTCCTTTAATCGCTGCACCTCAACGGTTGCTGCAAAAGCAATGTGCCCAATCTCCTCCCTCGGGCTCACATCCCCAACCGTAATCTTCATCTCTCTCAATTCTCTAGCTCTCTCTAATCCGTCCATGTATGAAGCCTGCTCAAAGGTAGCATATGGATTGTCTCTCGGAAATGAAGACATGTACCCCAAGATGTCCGGGGCACGAGTGGCATTCATCAGGGCAATTGTCGCTAGGCTAGCTAGAACTAGCAACCCTGATATAACAATCAGAATAGCTGCGAATGTCATATTGCATTGGTATTTCTCTCCGATTATCCTGGTGGACAGTGCGTGACTTGTGTTGAAATCGACAGGTCCCTTCAATCGGCCTGCCGTAATGTTGTCATAGGAACTATCCGTAACGTCTGCGTGGAGATTTCCATGCAGGTATTTATACCCATAGGTAGATTGCCAGTAGGTATTGAAAAGATTCTCGAAGTTGCGGCTTAGCATTGGAAGAGAAACCGTGGAAAGGTTGGTAAATCTCGGCGAATACAAAGCCGTATATGGATATTGCATCCACACCTCCAGGATTGAGCTCGACATCAGGCTTCCAGCAGGTACAGCCGCCAAGATAGAGACTGGGAAATACCAAAAGCTTCGTTCGATAGCCAGCAAACTTTCGTATCGCCAAGAGTCAAAGCCCAAAGGAAGCTTCTTCATTGCTGTGACCTTACAAAGTCGATCGACACACCGGACTGAGGATTCAACATCCTGAGGTTCCATTGAGCAATCGATAAAGCTCAGGTCATCTAACGGAGCGCCGTTATTCATAGATGTTATGTTGAAGGGAATGTTAGTCTCATTGTAGGTTTCGCTGAAATAACCGTTCCTTCTTGTAAATGTCAGCTGAACCACAAAAGAGCCCCCAAACTTGTACGCCCAGGACCCAGCGCTTTCACGAGAAGACGTATTCAAGAACAGACTATCGGCTCTAGGAACAGAACTTATGTGTTTAGAGGATCTGCATTGGATGGCGAAATACCGACTGACTAAATTGAAAGAAATAGTCCCGTTGGCTAAAAGACCCCCGACGGGAATCCCGAGTAGAGACGAGTAAGGAGTACTCTCACTATGGTTCACCACAGTCCATGAATCGTTCGAGATTGAAGGTAGAGAGTCCAGGCTTGGTATTCTGACGTTGCCGAACAAGTCCTGAGAGGAATTCTGGTATTGGTAAGAAGTTGTGACAGCAGTCATAAATATTGAGCCCCACTGTGACCAGCTAGATGTAGGGCTTCTCGACCCGAAGGCTGGGGACATGACTGTATTCAAAGATAGAACGATCGGCAAGTATCGAATTGTAGTGTTGGTCGAAAACACTTCAGGAGATACTGTAAGCAGCCGAAGAGCCGACTGTCCTCCGAGAGGCGAAAGTGCCCAGATAGTTATGATTGAGATCCCTAAAACATATTGACCTCTCAGTAGCACCTGCCTTTCGATTGCAGAAAAAAGGGTCTGTGAGCCGATGAGGCGCTCGAGCGTCTATCCGAGTTAATTAGGCACACATTGGCATGACGGGGTTTTGGCTCTTACCCCTAATTTAACACCGCGCTCCGCCCAGTGTAGTCCTAGCGAACGAAAGAATCTGCCCACGATCGCAGCAAAAACAATAGGGAAAACGGTTGGTGAGAGAGCGATTGCTTGTTGGGTTATTAAGCCCGTTTTAGAGGTAGACTTATTATCGAGGGAGATTGCGGCCCCCGTAAGTGCTATCAAAGTGTTAGAAATGCTCGAGCTTCTGCTATACATTAATCGACGTACCGATAAAAAGCAGAGGGAAAATCGTCAGCAATATTTGTCCAAGTGACGATAAGTATTGTGTTCGTCGTAGCTTTTTGGGCTCATATATAGAAGGCTTGTCAGTGCCGTTCAGTGGCGGGCTCGAGCGCGGCAAGTTGCCTTGATGGTTGGTAGCAACATCTTCTGAGATCTCTGAGTGATCAAGAGGTTTGACTAACTCGTATGTCTGGTGGCAGGAGACCATTTTGGAGTCTAGCAGCGAAGGCCGGAAACGAGTCACATTGGGAGCAAGACAAAAGACATACATGGAAAGGAAGTCAATCCGCAATTTATTGATATTATTAATAGCAAGTCAGCAAACATGAAGCGGCTGAGGAGGGGTAGGCTTGGCATATGCAGCAAAACACAACTGGTGGCGCGAGTGGCGGTGGCTCTGGCATCGACGCAGACTCAGTATTTCCCCTCGACTGGTCCATATTCAAGTACGAAGAGTTGGGACAACACAAGATTATCATCCTAAATAGCGTGGTTCAACCCATAAAATTCCACATACAACAATTGCCTCTAAAGATGTGCATTGTAAAGCAAAGATGGGTAAGTAGTAGAGTGACTAGAACGTAAAATGGCCATGTGACACCAGGAATGACACATCCACACATGATGGTCAGGCGGTGAGATTGGAAGCTGAAAAACTGCAGCCACTTCTGAATACGATTTAGCGGACCAGCCGCTCAGACGACAGAAAAGAGCCCAAGGGGCTTTACTTAATTTTGCTTACCAAATGCCCTTTCCTCGTGTTTACTTACAGCCTTGCCTTATGATTCTACGTTGTAGGTTTTAATCCAAAGGAGGCAAGTCAGGATACCCAATCCTAGCTGTATTCGCTCTCGCGACGCTCAAGCTCTTGAGGCTAAATTATCCAGTCATCGAATCATCCATCTTCAAATCACACAAAAACGTGGATTCAATATCATGTATGAATGTAAAACAATGTCCTGAAAGCAGAGAACTTCAACAATCTATGCACTTTTCCCCTCTGGTTTAAGGTAGTATTTATGAGAAATAAGGCTAAAAATTGTCCCTGGAAGGCCAAAGTAACCGATATATAAATGCAGGATTTTCCTCCGGCTCTTATCCTCTTGAAGGAAACACTCTTGGTTCAAAGTCTGAAGAATATGACGAAGAACAGCGAAAGAGTATCACTTCACTATATCTAACAGTATATTAACATCATTATCTTATCGTATCAGTTCCTCGTCCTAGGGCAGCAGTGACAACGCGAACATTTGCTTGTCGATTCAGAATCGACAAAAATATCTTCTAAACTAGCTCTAAGGCTAATTAAGAAAAGAAAAAAGGCATGAGCCAACTTAAACACCTGTAACGAATCAAGTTAGGGTCATACGCGGCGGTATAGGTACCTTGAAATAGTTGAGCAAAAAAAGAAAGAAGAAAGAAGAAAGCTCAAGGATTGCTCTGAAAGTTTAATAAAAGTTTTACGCCTGAATCTTGACTTCGCAGTTGCAGTCACAAAGTTACTTTAGCTGGCTTAATAGTGTGTGCAACATGATGTCTGTACTTCATCCCTAAGATTTTCAGGATATTAGTAAAGACAATCAAAATGCTTTCCCCGTCAGGTAAATCAGGTAGCCATATTCCTCGAAGAGGAGAATTCTCATTGGTATTTTTTAATATAGTGCAGTCGATGACATTTCGACATCCAACAATTTCATCCTTGCCAAATTCCATGCGTCATGATAGCCTCAGACATCCAATCTGTATCGCCGCAATCAACCGAGTTAGCCATGTCCATGATCTGCGATGTGGCCAATAGATGTCCCATTCCCTCGTCATCTATCATCCCAGTCCCCGAGATAGGTGTTGGTAGAGCCTGCATTACATTGATGCAGCCATGTAAGGCGTCTTCAGGTTGCGCGAAGGCAGCAGAAACATCCCCCGAATCCATCGCTTCGTCTGCGAAATCTATCGTGGCATGTTGTAAATTGTGATCCCCAGGCAGAGTCTCTAGTAGCTCAATGATGCGTGTCAGCTCTGCTTTGTGCTTACTAGCAACATGGCTGCCACTGTCAGTCATCTCATCGAGGATGAAAAAAGCTTTATGGAGCCAAAAACGATAGTTCTCGACGAGGTGAGAATCTATTGCGGGTGCCACAGAAAGATTCACGGTGGAGATGAACAAAGACTGGATATCGAATGGAAGAAAAGACTCTGTTTGGACACATCAGTACTTCTGGCTTTCATGATATTTGGGGGTTTAGGCGTGAGAGGAGGCAAAAGCAAAGAACCCACCTAGAAGGCCTTGAGACTGCAAGCTCTCGAGAATCATGACCATTTGAAGAGAAGAATCGATACACATTTGAATTAAATTGCGCACGGTCTGAGAAGAACTCAACTTCCTGGCGCAGAGCTCCGCAGATTCCAATCGGAACTGTAAAAAGCAAAAGATCAACGGCCGAGTAGCGAGAACAATACACTGTGGCGGAGCACTGTCAGTCTTCATAAAAGTCTCTCTTGTTTTTTTAGCTTACGAACCTGATAATAGAGTAGATGAAGATTAGCAGCCGTCCTAGAGACGCCCGCGACGCTATTATCGAGTTGAAGTGGGAATAACTGCTGAAGCTGCTCGGACACGGCAGCTACATCTTCAAGAACATGTTTCGTACTTGTTAGGAACCTGCTATTGAGCTTCCCGTCAGGCTGATAGATTTCTAGAGGCATTGAATGTCAGCGGGAGGATTATTGGCCCAGAATCAACAACGAACCTTTATTGATGGTGGCTATTACTCGAGAGAGCCGTATTTCCATTTCAAGTGCGGCACGTCTGTGAGGTGATTCTTCAAACTTCGGAAGCTCTGGGTAGATATCTCGGTCGCTGATCGATTGAGGTAGGCCCAAAAGGGATGTCATCTCGCGGTCTAGCACATATATGGTCCACCAGACTCGGCGAGATCGCTCAACAACGTCCTCGCCAAGAAGAGCGCCGGGCATATTGGTGTGCATTCCCTGACCCAAGGCTATCCTCATTGCTTGGCCAATCTATATACGACCCTCTTGTCAGTTTGCTACCTAACAGGATGCCCCGTTCTGGGATTTGGAGACGAAGAACTCACAATATTGTGTGCCGCAAGGCGATTATCAAGAGATTGGAGATACAGCGCAACACAACAAAGAATCTCGCATGATGCGATCGGATCTTGCCAGAGAGTGATTACGTCTGGAAGTAGTTCGAATGCCTTTACAAAATATTCCGCACCTGGAGGCCGTTTTGCGAGGTTTCTTTTGGTGACGAAGGCCTTCCCAAAGGCCAATATGAGAAGAAAGTGAACATACCACAAGCTTCTCTTCACATGCTCGGCTTGCTGGTTTCGGTAGAATTCATAAAGAGACGACATAAATGATTTCTCATCGAAGAGGTGGAACACCTGGGCGCAGTGAAACTTGACTGCGTTGATTAAGTAAATGGAGTAATCCAGCGCGGGCATAGCTGGAGAATCATATGGTGTCATTCTGGCTGACCCCTCCCATCCCAAGTCATACGCTTGACCATCAAATAGTAAATCCGCAGTAGGTAAAGGCGACTTCAGAATGAACTCGTGGATCATGGAAAGTATGCGACGTGCAAACGACCAATTGGATGAGGTGCCTAAGTAAACTACATCAAGAGAGTGGTCAACGTTATAAATTCTACATCTGATTGAATTAAGGATAGACAGTCGATATACATACATGCTTTCCCATCGGCAGATATGGAAAAGGTGGATTGGCCAGATGACAATGGATTCCTTAGAGGGTTACCGCCGAGGGAATCTTGTTGGGATGAAGATTCAACGCCTTCGCTAGCCGCGCGGTGAGCCGATGAGGGACTAGAGCGACGTCGATGTTTTCTACTTGGGGGACCTGAGGGGCAGTCAGCGTCATGGAGAGGATAAAGGAATCATCTCCACCGGTATGGTAGTGGGATGTGAACCGAGGCTGATACGTACGTGATTGCGTCTCTGCGTCGACATCAGATCCAAAGTCAATGATTTCCGAAGCAGCAGTGGGCTTATTCTCCTCCAGTGCGGCAATCCTGGCCTGCAGGTCCTCGATGTAACCGCGAGTGACGAGAATCTTCTGCTCACTATCGTTGATCTCGCAAGGTAGCTTGCGCTTCGTACAGGCGTCGCAGGGGATCAGCCCTGAACATCTGATCTTCTGCCTGCGGCATCTGGAGCATGCATTAGTCGATCTCTTGGTCACTCTGCCTAGGCTGGAGGAGCCCGCGGCACGACCAGTGCTGCTGGCGATGTCTCCCGGAGAGGTTTCCGGCTGCGATGGTCTCGAGGCTCGTCGGGAATGCTGCGGCCTGGGCATCCTGAGCGGTGGGCTGCGTTAGTGTGTGTTGACAAGGGATAACAGAGGGCAACAAATGCGCTCGTATGCGGCTTCGAGTTGGGCCCTGGGGACTGGTGGCCGTTGGCGATACTCGAGCTCTCATCCATCACAGGACTGGAGCGAAGATCAATGGGGCACAGGCGATGCATTTGCGCGGGGAGGATCTGGCCAAGTGCGAGAGAAGGGCGGCAGCGCTAACTTCACTGGCCCATCCCCTGCGAAAAGGGACTAGCCCAACGCTTGTGGGGTCCAAGCCTGTGATAGGCACGTTTTAGCGCACTCTCTAAGCTTCCAGTGGTTGTAGTGGATGCCTATAGATGCTCCATCTCGCCATTTCTGGGCAGGTCTTGCGGGGAGAGCCACTAAATCGCTATCTGCTGCCGCCAAATCGGGACATATTGATTGGCCCGTCTTCTTTAATCAACGAGCAACAAACCCGTCACAGAACTGAATTGAGGAAATTGTTCTGTGATCTGGATAGGAAAACTACCGGGCTATCCGTGTATCTATCTTGGGCTCAAGACTGCCAAAACAAGTGCCTTCATCCACCTGTCACACTCCTTCAGGCCGTTTCTACAGTTCAGCAAAGAACCGTTGCCGGTGTGATGTGAGGCATTTGGGAGTGAAACCCCAGAGATTTACGTGAAGTTAAAGTGAAGACGGCGTTTCCTCTAACTCATTATGAAGGGACTCAAACCAATGTCATGAGACCAGACCGAAGCAGATCACCATGAAGCATGACCGGCATTAGCAAGGATTGATGTCGACTCCTACCGGGTAGGTGGCAGGAACTAACGATTGAATATAGGTAGCTCAGTACCTAGGTAGGAACGATACGCTGCTTGCCTTTGGACTCTCTAAGAAGCAACATGAGAACAATAAAAATATTCAAGTTATGCGACACTTTCAATCGTGTCAAAGTATGCATTTTAATTTGCTATTTGGTTTTAAACGTCCAGACCTAGATTATATGATCCTCGTTGCACGCATGACAACGACCGTATATCTAGCGGTAGAAGGATGCTCGCCAGGATCTTTGGTGTCCGAATCGCCTTAGCTCGACGAATATTGAACATGAGAATTCTGTTTCATCTTGTTGCATGTCGTTGAATTCTGGTGAGACATTCTTAGTTCCTCGCTCCCACGTATCACTTCTTTGAACTTACTGATGCTGTTAAGAGTAGCTGCCAATGGTCATGCATCTCTAGCTATAGGAAAAGACTGTTCTATGAACCATCGTTCGAAGATTTATGATTAGGCTTAATTAGAGTCGACTCTGATATCCTGGTCGTTTGGTGGTTGACTTGACCCATAAAAGTTGTAATCGTGATCTGTCTATGGTATACCTAAGTGAAAGAGAATAAAGTTCAACAGCAATGGAAGCTGCCAGAGCCCGACAACTCAACACTGAATACGCTGTTTATGGTATAGAACATATTTCTTCATTTTCAAGAGAAAAGGAAAAAAAGCAATGTGGTCATATATCATCCGTGTGTCATGTGATTTCATACCTCTCCCAGTTACTTCCACGTTGCAGAAGGCTGCCCTTATGTGTAAGATCATGGATGCCAGAATGAGAACTACTATATCATTATTTAGAAACTGCAAAACTCAAATTCTCTAAGGCCATACAATTTACAGCGTGCATGATCATAGGTCGCTGTCAAAATCATTCAGTCAGTACTTATAGTAGAGGGCCATGTGGGCGAATGGAAAGATAACTTACTGTTATTTCCTAGCTGAATATCTTTCGAACCAATATGAACCCATATTCCAGAAACAGAAGAATTTTCGGCCTCTTCTGTCCCGCTACAATGCCGAATCTCACAAGAGTAAATTGACGGAGCCAATAATTCAGCAGTGGTTTGTCGCCAACATTTTAGTCCTCCAAGATCTCCTCGCTGGAGTTTGGTAGCTTTCAGTCCCTGATTCTCGACTAAGAATGAGTCCATGAGCTTGTACCAGGTCCAGTTTGGGCATTGGAAGGTCACATCTGATGTCGACGGTACCAGACGTTGAACAAGGCTATCGACCGTAGGGAACACTTTGTTGTTCAGGGCTTGTGAAAGCTGTTCTTTATTTCTGTATCTCCAATCGACTCCCAAGGCCTCATCTCTTTGGATGTCGTTCCCCCCCCGAAAGGATATGTGTAGCCTTATCATCGAGGGGAAAACTGGCGGTCTTGTCTGATGTGATACGTTGGCTTCGTTTTCTCCAACGAAACCGGAAGCTAGAGACAACTGCTCCGGGTCCCATACTAGGTCTAATGATGTTAACAATGAGAGTGTCGCCTTGGAAAATATCTTTTGTAGATTTTGGTGTAAGGCTGGTGATGCGATGCGAATGGTATTTGTTCCGTAAAGGATATGCATTGCTTCTTGATATCTAGACAAAAAAGTGCTTGTTAGTTCACCCGAAGGTTCTAATATTAAAATATAACAAATTAAAAGAGCAAGAAAATTAAAGCAAGTAGACTTACGATTGGCGGCATGCTAGCAACCAACCCATAATCCCGACCTGGCATTTTGTTGGTGATGCCACTGGCCATGTATTGCAGTATCCCAGGCCCTCCATGCAGTAATCCGTTCCGGGGTCAGATTCTGCAGTGACTCCTAGACATCTGAGACGACCGGGTAACTCGCCCTCATCGGGTTCCGCGAACTGATGGCAAACGCACCCAAACCAAGTCCACTTCTTGGGCAGGTCTGTCCTAAGGTGAGAGTTCAGAGCTGGCCTCAAGTACCGGATTCCGGCATGGGTGTGACGCCTTTGCGAAGACTTATGAGTGGTAAGGGCGAAAGGATGCTGCAATTCCAGGCTCATGTGTAGAGTCCGCTGGCCAAAGGCTTCCACCATGATTTGATTGCGAATCTCAGCCGGTAGGGCGAATAAACGACTTTTAATCTGTTGATTAGAACAACCTTCTGTAAGCTCCACGCCCGGTATTGAAACCCTCACGTCCGACTGCCTCACTGGCCCTTGAATTATAGGGCATCTTTCCAGCTCCTCGTTGCGTCGGGAGTCTTCTCGTCTCGCATGGAAACTACTAACCAATTGCGTGCCACCGGGTACGAGACTCAACACAGCCAATGTATTAGAGGCGATCTGGGATAGCATAGCGGGTAGGCCTTGTCTCTTTGGACCGAGAAGGGTAGACGATGAGCTTGGGGACCGTTTTCCACTCACTACACCGCAGTTATCCATTGAGATGTCGTGGTAGAGTTGCGGTAATTTGTTGCTGGTGGCCATTGGCAGTGTCGAATTAGGTTTCTAGACCTGGCGATATTTTACGCATGCGGTGGTAGTTCCTTTGACGAAACAAGCGATTGAGTCGTGAGAGAACGGCTATGAGTAGACTTTCTTAAGAATATAGCAAGATAAGTGTAATTTTTTGTTGCTCGTTTTCTTGCCTTGCCCCAAAAGTGCACATGCTTGCATGATTCATGGTAGTGGCTGGGTATTCCCTTGAAACCGAATGAGGGAGCTGGCATGAATCATGGTGCTAATGCGCCACCTGACTCCCTCTGTCTTACCAAATTCAATTCTCGAGCTGCAGTAATTAATATGGTTCCGTTCATGATTGGAATCAGTCGCTGTTCGCCACGATGCTACGATGACTGCGTGTTTATTCTTGGCTCCGGGATCTCCTCAACCCTAATGGACTTCTTGATTTGACTCCACCCACAGAATTATAGCACTTTGGCTTGGATCTCGGAAGACCGTATTAATTTATTTGTGCTGGCTCGTTGGGCAGCCGTTGCTTGTAAAATAGGTTTATCAATCACCAACAACCAAGTGAGCTCTCGGCGAAGACGACAGTCATCAATCAATCAATTCAATTTGTGTAATGAAATTCAGTAAACAAAATGTTCGCCGGCACATTGCCGTTCACCTGGATCGTTTTTTACATCCTCCAATTGGATTCTTCAACAGCTCAGATACCCGGACAAGGCTGACCGTCACATTGTTGGTGGTGCTCGGGGGCAGAACACCAGCACCCATGATCAGCAAGTAATCAGGATCCTCCTCCAAGATTCTCAGATTTCTAGTATAAGCACCATTCTCGGGAACATCGTACGCAACCCAAGCATCCGGATCACCCAGCTTGCGGTTAATGTAAACGTACTTGAGATTGCTGCTCACGATGATACTGCCATTCTCGCCACCAACCGGTGTCCAGACCACGTAGGGGCTGTTGTTGGGGAAGATGTCGGTGTTGGTGGCGTTGATGTAGAAGTCCTCGGCCTCGGCAAACTTGCGAGGGTCCTCGGCGAAGCGATAGTAGATGGGGAATCGGTAGTTCTCGAAGATGGGAGCACCTCCCCACTCGTAGACATAGATGTATTTGCCGTTGGGGAGCTTGGCGACAACGGGCATGCCTGGGCGCATGGTATAGGTATCAAAGCTCACATCTGTCACGGTATCGGACCAGTTGATAAGATCCTTGGTTTCCTTGTGGCTTAGCTCCTGGCCGTGAAGCTCGCTTCTCTGGTCGGCAAAGTATAGGATGAGAGTATCTTCATAGACACTAGCCATCCAGTCAGTTCACTTTGTTTTCTCGCGACGGCCCACCGCAAATACTCACAGGATCTCAGGCTCCCACACTGGTGTCTCTTCATTGTTTGGGATTGCGACTCCACCCCGAACAACGCTCGATACAAAGTTCCAGGTACGCCCTTTGTCGGTAGACGCATACACGTCGATCTTGGTCTCGCTGAGGTCCGTCGGAATGCTGTTACCAGCACACAGAATGGTTCCTGCCTTGAAGTCTCCAATATCCTGCCTCAATTCATACAAGAATGGCTGGTATCTCATGCCCCAGTTGTTGACCTGATCATGTACCTCGCCGACCTCTTCCCACGTGAGACCGCCGTCCCAGGACTCTACCACAGGGTACCAAACCAGTGGCGGTTCAGGAGAGTAGTTCTCCCACGTGGCCAGAAGACGGCCATCCTCAAGCTGGACCGTGCGGGGATAGAGAGTACGTGGGTCGGTGTAGTTTGAGGGTGGCTGGAAAATTAGATTCCTCTCATACGTCTCGAGGGCATGCGAGAAACCCAAAAGCGCAGAAGCTGTGACAACAAGTCCTTTGAGCCACATCGTTGCTCTCCCAGTCTCCTCTTTTGTCTTTTCTGATTGCTTGACCTTCTTCCTACGAACTCAATGGGCTTGCCGCAGCATTTTATACCCAAACTCCTCCAATTGGCCATGGTGTAGGTCGGGATAAACGCGCAACATTCGGTGTAGTGGTTCATTGCAACCCCGAGGGCGGTAGGCGCTCCAACCAAAGCTGCGGAGAGACACTTATATTATGGAGCAAAACGTGGGGATCGCAACATGACGGACGCAAGGGATGGGCCTCCGGATTCTTGGGTTGGGGCTAGTCAGCGGTGGCCATACCGGAATGATGTTGATATCCGAGGCGCGCCAATTGATCTTGTCTGCATGGATACGAATAACTCAACTAAGGTTATTTCTCACCCTTCTTTTGAGACATGGGCATCAGCAAACTGCCGAGGGACGAGCAGGAGATGACGGGATGCCAGCCAGACTTGTCTCTTCTGGGTACACCCCTGCACGGCATTTACCCCTGTTCTTGGCTCTCCTCTTGGGGTAGGATTTGCTCGCAAACAGATGGACATGTTAAGAGCTGGGTGATATTTCGGTGGGTGTCAATTGGTACTTCTGTATCGCAAATTCTGAGATGGACTGACCTCGACTCTGTTGGTTCCATTCGACCAGATATACTCGCCGTATATAACTATCATTATTCTTTTGCTGTCAGCAAATTTCGTCACCAACATGCGATCCCTGAAGCTTACATTGCCCCACCGAGAGAGTTTGGAGTCTAATAAATAGGAGTGAGTCGACGGTAAGGTTGTTGTCTTCCTCTCAATCTCTCGTTAACTTCAATTGGCGAAAGAGAGACGAAATCCACCATCAAAATGCCCCGATTCATCACCGACTCCCGGGTGGCGCCAACTGACAAGGCACCTCTACGTGCCATCGGGCTTGGCCTACCTCGTGCGGCCACCTCATCCCTCCAGGCTGCATTTGAGGAAGTCGGATACGGCCCGTGTCTCCATATGGCACAAATCATACCCCATCCAGATCGGTTGCAACTCATAATTGACGCTAGCTATGAGAAGAACACGGAAACCCGCCACAAGATGCTTCATACGCTCATTGACGGCTATAGTGCTGTCTGCGACGTGCCGGCCATTCTCTTCTACAAGGACTTCATGGAGATGTTCCCGGATGCCAAGCTCGTGTTGAATGGACGGCCAAACCCCGAGGTATGGGCGCAGAGCTGCCGCGAAAGCTTCGGCTACTTCTTCTCGCCGTGGTTTTACTACGTTGGTTTCCTTTGGAGTGTCGACCGTCTCTGGCACCGGCTTAACATGCGCGTGGTGGAATATTACAAGGAACTCTACGATGAGCCCTCCATCTTCCAGGCCTCGGCGTACACAAAGTATTATCAGAGTGTCAGGGACGATGCGAAAGCAAATCGTTGGACGTTGCTAGAGTTTCAAGCTGAAGAAGGGTGGGCGCCGCTTTGTAAATTCCTGGAGCAAGATGTTCCCGACAAGTCATTCCCGAGAGTCAACGAAAGAAAAACATTCCAGGTTGTCAAGAGGGTGTTCATTGCAAAAGGTATCCTGAGCTGGATGGCAGTGGGTGGAATCATCTGGGCCGGGTGGTCTCAGGGCCCGTGGCTGCTTTCTCGCCTTAGAGGCTTGATGCCTGCTTTTTGAAATATATGAATATAGATTATAGATTACTACTCTACAATTGATATTAGACATCTTTCTATTTATACAACGCCAGCGCCGTTTCGATCAGTTGTCCAGTCAGAGACGGCCTGTTCTGGACTTTGCCAACAAAATTGACTTCGCTAGCAGTGTCTCTCGATCCCTCGGCAGTCGCTTGGAATATTCATCCGCCTTGTAGCACTCGTCTACAATATATTCCATTTCGATATCGTTCGCGGCTTCTAGGGAGGGCAGAATGACCCCGATCATATGAAGCGCTGCAATGGTGTCTACTCTTGAAAGATATGGAACGAAATTCCACAGTTGAGTGCAACCTGCCCTGTAAGCCGCATATTCGTCTTCTCCAGCATTCCCATCGATGACTTCAAGCTCGTATACCATCCGGCAGAGAATGATTTGGAAGTTGAGCATGCTAGCATAAACCTGTGCAAACTTGACGGTGGTGCTTTCGTACCTGAAGCCAGTGATGGAATCCTCATCTGGCACTTCTCGCAGAGATCCCATATTAAATGCTTTTGTAGTGCATTCTAGACACATTGATTCCATCCTGGTTGAATGCGCTCGTAACTTTTTCGAGGCCATGTCTCTAAGATCCCGACTTTCATGGGGATTGGCGCGGAGCTGGGAGATCCAATGGGCGGACTCTATCAACGTATTCAACAGGTCTATGGTGTACAGAGACTCGTCCCCAAAGGGCTGCATCTCTTCTTCAGCCATTGAATCAAGTGTTACTTTGGTGAGCAATTCTCTCCATCTGTCGTCGGATATGTAGTTACTACTCCCAGTCAGGGATGCGCTATGCTGCGCTGAATGTTAGTTGCCAAATAGAAAACGTGATGGGACAACTCACAAGAATGTTGGAGTTCTCAAACGCGAGTGCCACCTCCAGGTCGTCCTCGAAATTCAGGGGGGGTTTCTTCCTGAGCACGGTTTCAATTGCTCGGTGATGGCCCTTGACACTCCCCGGTGTCAAGTTGCCGAACGTGGTGTAGGCACGTTCGAGGAGAACCATAGCCCCCAATGTCTCTACTGTATACACCTCGTCTCCCTGAAATGCATGTTGCAGGCTACGGAGAGCCTTGCCATACAACGGAGTGTCCAGCAAGGTCTCCACAGGTTTGCCACGACGATACTCATTCCAAGCGGAGCAGAAGAGTGCAGTGCAGTCGCGAAGGCAGGCACTCCGGGACAGCCGTGCAGGCAGGTGTGGTATGAAGCTGTTCTGCAAGACCATTCCTCCTTTCTTATTTCGCTCCCAAAGATTCACAAGTCTCGCGCCAGTGCGTTCGGCGCTCGTGGTGAGATTGGCTCGGGGAACGTGAAGACGGAAAACGGCAAAGGAAGAATCATCTTCGCCATATTTATTGGCGCGGCCGTACTTTGTCATTACTGTTTTCTGTTGTCCATCGCCGGCCTGATTCTGAGTCTCCGTGTCGCCAATGGCAGAAGACTCCGGGACATTCCCATCCGGTCCACTCTGGGCATAATGAACAAACTTGGTACGAGACGTCGGCCCTGGGCACGGCTTCCTGGACCTCGCACACTGGCTACATGTTGGCCAATTCTGATCACACTAGATACAGCAACGGATGAGTTTCTGTGGACATTTCACTTGGCGATGGTCGGATCACACCTTGATTTTCTTTATCCTGCAATTCTGACAGCTTTTAGACCGAGGGACGCCCGTCATTCTAAACGAGATATGCGATGAATATCAAAGAAGCTTACAACGTTCTTGATCGTGAGCAGAGAATCGGTAGGTGAGAAGCAGTTTCACGATGACGCAAGGCAACCGCTAGTTTTAAGCGCAATTTGGTGCTGTGGAAATTCTGGAATAGGCCCATAATAACTCGCAAAAATCTTCCCAAAAAAGGAAAGTTGTTCGCACCGATCAGCATTCTCCAGTCTTGTTCCTGTGGCGCAGCAGTTGTTGTTGCTTGGCGGCTGACTCTAGATTCATAGTGATAATAGGAGCTGTTTGTCATTCTGAATATTTACCTATCTGAAGCTGTTTTCCTTTTCCCGCGGCCATTGGTCGCCAATAGTCTTCGTAACTCTGCTCACTTTTGTAAGCGTTCTTGGCTGACCTCTTCCCATCCAGCATGCGAGAACATTGGCGCCATACATCTATGGTCACAACAATACTCTGGTGTTAGAACGGCGTGTAGAAGATGATTAAATGAGTCTCCTGGAAATGACACGTATTGAAAAAAAATCTATGACACCGTGACCAGCGCGCTCCCGAACTGCCTTCGCCGTAATGCTCCATTCCGAAGAGAAGACCAACAATCCGCAACAATCTCCACTATCCAAAATAAGAGACGAGAAAATGAAAGATCTCAAGGCGCCATATGACCAGAGTTGTGCTTAGAAGATTTCAGGGGCGGGATAGCAGGGCATCTAAAGTAGGTCTATCTCAATCATGTGCGCTTATAAAGATCGCTCAACACGCCACTCAAATGGATGGCTGGGGAGACTTCTGGAGGCGGCTTGACACTCCGGTTCTAGCATCCGGCTCACGTACGATCGTGTCAACGATGGCCTTCATAACTAGCGTTCCATCATCACGCCCAAAGGAAGAGAAGAGAGCTTGTAAGTTCTTTGCGTTGTCCTCCTCCGCCCCATAACATTCGAGAACTCTTTCCACGAAACGTTTCTGTGTGATGTGGTCCTCCACGAGCGCCTTTTGATGACTTTGAATGACAGGGAAACACTCAGCATCACTCGTGTGGGAATACTCCACCTTTGGCTTCGTTATATTCAGCTCATGCCAGTCAATACGCGTAAAGGAGCAGCCGATATCTCGTTCCATGAGCTCCGGCTGTTCTCCCTGCGACTGATTGGTGGCTGGCAGAAAGACGACGCGACCTCCGCAATCCGCAGCATCGTAAATGTTCGAAAGTCCCGATGTGAGGAAAGCCGTTTTGCATTCCGATAAGAGGACACGCGCTTTATCCGGGGATGTCGAGGTGGCCACATCTGATTCCATCCCAGCACACACTCCTTGACTAGTCAGGAAATGCAGGGGGAGATCATCAGGATGGTTTCGGGCTTTGATGGCCTGTTGGACGACGGAGAGTATGAGTCTCGCGAAGGCGATATTCTCATCGACAGAAATGAATGGATTTTGCAGGCCACCCAGATTGACCAAGGTGCCCTTCCTCGGGCCTTTTGAAATCGATCGACCGATAGACGGCACAAGCGGAGGAACCACAACAGCGTTGCGCATCTTTGCCTCGTCGACTCGAGATCGGACGCCAATATAGTCCACTGCAATCACCAGGCTCGCATTTGCCCAAGCCAGAGGAACGGATGGCCAGAACCACATGAGAGGGTCAATGACAATAAGCCTTCTGGCCCCGAGCCCGGACATGAGCTCTACGAAAGCAGGGTCGGATACGGCGACAATGAGGAGCGGCTGTTGAAGCTGAAAGAGGTCGCCCAGAGCCTGTTTGCCCTGGTTTGTGGAAGTATCGCAGTCATGGACGTTATCCCATGGTGGCGATGTATTGAGATCCAATGTGTGTCCATGGCCAACATACTCGGTCGTTGTGTGTGGTCCGATAGAGGAAGCCAACTTCCGCAGCATAGGAGCTAACGTAAGAAGCAAGCTGCTGGGGCCAAAACCAAACGCCTCTGCGTGCACCCATATGGTGCTACGGCCCGGGCGAGACTTGAAGTCTGCTTGTGTCAGAGAATACATCAGAATGGAATCACACCCAGCTCAGCTAGAATAGAGATAGAGGAAGATGCTATCGATCGGACGTGACTGAGTGTTTATTGCCTAAATAACTTTCACAGTTTCTCTGGGCAGCTAAATGGAGATCGCCCGGCCGGCGGCCGCTAGACTCGGGTCCTAGCGGTGACAACTGAGACACGCGCGGCCCGTATGTGTAGCTGATGCCGAACGATGTCAACAGAATTTGACTAATGGCGAGAACAAATATTCGTGGCTTTCAATTATTGAGACATGCTTTGGTAGTGGTGGCGCCGAATTCCTTGGAGAGTAAGTTCAGCTTCTAGCTCTCTTGTGCTAGGACAACTTGGTACACCCCCTGCATGATAACCTAGTTCCCTGCTGACCACCATCCTATATGTTTCACTCTGTTCTCTTTTAATTCCGGCCCGGATAACTTGAGTGTCTATAGCGTAAAGCTAGTCGATCAATAGTCTTAAGACTTTATTAGGAAGCTGCATTCGACAGAGAGATGGGGCCTTCAAAAGTGGCTGGAGCCTACAGCTGTGCATAGAGCATTGGCCATGTGAATATCTTTCCTGTCAATTATTTGCCCTGGCTCCAGCCTGATGGCTCACCAAGATCATGTCACACTCTTTATTTAACGTTCACAGGGATTCAAGTGTTAGGGATTTCGTAAATAAGATATTCGCGCAGCATACGATAAAGACTTAGATGCACAGCAAAGTATCACATTGTCGTATCAGAATCTGTTCCTCCACGTTCCACATATGTCTAGCGCGAGTTCGTTCTTCTCGAGTCACTAGAAGAGGATTTCATTTCTGGGGAGGAGAGTCCCGAAGGAGGAAGCGAAACCGGAGATGCAACAGTAGGACGGGTGACAGCTAAGGCTGAACGAAAAGAGGACGAAAAGAGGACGAAAAAAGGACGAAAATAAGACGGAAAGAAGGAGAGACAAGATGAGGTTTTCCCCACAACAACCTGCTTTTTGGGGAATTATGCGTCAGCTCGTGTACTTTTGTTAAAGAAGAACTAGTCTCTTAGAACTAGTCTCTTAGAACCTGTAGTTGATCGTTTGCTATAACATCTGATATTGACTCTCATTTCATATCTCACATGTCGATGTCCAGGGCACAGCGAAAGAATAGAGGTCAAGATAAGACAGCCAACATTAAATACACTTTATATTTTCCTTTTACGGTTTATGCATATAGCTCTCTTGCGACTTCGTAGCTGTTTATATAAGCAATCCCCTCCTTCCTCCATGTATCATCTTCGACCCTATTCTCGGTTGCGTTCAACACCATGTTCTTCGGCTCATTATTGTCATATATAGGCCATTCAGGCAACAGCTTCTCCTGATTGTTATATTTATCCGACGGGTTCGGGTTGAGTTCGTACACAAACCTAACGTAGGCTTGGCCAATCGCCCGAGCCAGGTCCAGATGGGTATCATACTGGGGGCTGGGACCAATATTGCCAGATATGTTCTGGAAGCTGAACGCAACGTTTGCAAAGTGCTTCACTCCATCCCACTCGTTGTACCCATACGCCAGCTGGTCGAAGCGGTAACTAAAGACGTCCTTTCCAGCAGATGTATACAGCTCTGCCATCTTTCGGCGCCCGCTGATCATGGTGATATCCGAACCAATTGCAGCCGCTCGGCGTCCCTGTAACCCTCTGCTCGCAAGCACCGTGCAGCTGGTCATGTGGTAAGGTGGTGCGTAACATGGATCGTTGGGGTACAGTTCCATCAGCTTTCGCATTGTCGATGCACTGATAGCGTAATTTCTCCACCGAAATGCTTCAAGAAAGAGTTCCTCATCCGTATTGGGCTTGTTCATGACGAAGCTTTCGTCTGTGTTGGCACCGATGATCATGGGAACCGGGTTGAACTTGTCCTCTCTCATCAGTTGGCTTGGGTAGCCGGTGAGAAAGTGGCCGTCGATGATTGGGTTCCACGTCAAGGACTGCTGAGCTTTGTAGATTGTGTCTTGGTCCAAAGCCCTCAAGCAAGATAATTTATCCGAGGCTGTCCAACATCCTGCACTCCGTGTGAAATTTTCGTATGGAGTATTATAGTAGCTCAGGTCATGAATCTATTCGTTCCAGGTCAGCTACCGTGGTCAGTTGGTCTAGAACACGGGATGAATCCATACCTGTGCACCTGTTACTCCTCCGCTCTCAAGGATAGCACCACGAAATAGCTTGTCGTCCCGCCCATCGTTACTAAACATTTGATAGGCGATGCTCTGGGCGCCAGCACTCTCACCCCATACGACAACTTGCTCAGGATTGCCCCCAAATGCCGCAATGTTCTCTTGTATCCATCGAAGCGCAAGCCTTTGGTCATGCAGACCGGCGTTGCTCGAGCCCTCGGTCAGAAGGTCGAAACTCTGAAGGAAGCCCCAGACGCCAACACGGTAGTTGAAGCTGACCGCCACAATAGGCTGGCCCATGTCCTGGCTGACCTTGACAATACCGGACAGGTTGTACTGGGGATCAGCCGTGCTGCCAGTATACAGGCCACCTCCGTATATCCAAACTCTATGGATTGAATTAATAAATGGGCAGTTGAAAGGAATTATGGTACATACAGAACTGGTAAAGGACCCTTTGGTGCCCCGGACGGTCTGACCACATTGATGGTAAGGCAGTCCTCGGAAAGTGTAAATTTTTGGCCGTATTGCATGCAGCTGTATCCATACTGCGTGGCATTACGGCTCCCATCGAAGGACTCATTGTAACTTTGGGGCAGTTTGAATCTAAGGGGGCCAACCGGTGGCTGCGCGAAGGGAATGCCGAGAAATGCGTCTTGATCCCAGCCTGCCAAACTGGCGCCGGTATATGTTCCATTCAGAGTCTTGGCTGTGGGAACGGAGGAATTAGAAACAGCAGCGGCCACTAATGACATATCAGCGAGGGCGATGAGCCCGAGTAATGATTTCAATCTCATCGTCAAAGCAAATACTAGGGGGTGGCCATCTGGTGGCAAGCTCCTTTTCTCAGGCGATCATGCTACCATCCCTTCTTCTATATACATGAATAAACCGGTTATTGTCTTCCGCTGGGTCTGTGGTAACATTGAATGTTCCACAGGGGCGAAACTCATGGAATCATATTATTCCATTCATCTATTAAGCCTAGGCACATCTTTGGTCCACCGAAACATGGGCACCCAGTCTCCAGTCTTGAGGAAACTTACCGGTCAGATGGATCAGGGCAGTACTGCATCTCCTCATACCCCAAGAGAAGGGCAACGAATGGCAGGTTATGTGCTGCAGCATATGTTTGGTACACCTGCTTTCAAATGGGGTAAATTCGATCGTTAATTTCCGGCGCGAGACCAAGGAAGAACCAAGATCCATCAATGAGACGACGGCGCTTAATTGCGTCAACCCCTTCAAATCCCCTCTAAAACATCTGCTTGGGTCAAGAACATGTGCAGGGCTACCAGCCATTCGGTAAGTTCTCCCCATTATCCTCCTCTATTTGGCTAATTTGGACACGATAAACGGAGAACAATGAGGCCCGCAAAACCCCAGACTTGAAGCCTGGGCATGGAAGCACGCACACTCCTCTTTTTCCAAAGCAAGCCTAGAAGACAGCCGGGTAATATTACTAGGTTAAACCACCCCATATTGCAAGCTCAATCCATCCCCATTGCCGGTAGATTCATCAGTTGAGCGCAACCCCGGACTTTAAGAAGCCTGCAGTGTCTCAGCACCAAAGAGCATCCCCAGCGGGCCGAAGCTTGGCATTTTTTCCTGGGACGACCTTGAGCCAGAGCTTCTTCATAGCTCGGGATCCCTGGGGTGGTTCATCCAGGGACATTCATTCATCAGCCCTACCACCACCTGCCATTTCTTACGACATTGGCGTCCTCTCCTTCATCGCAACGCTGCTCCCTGCGTTTATGACTTGGGGCGGGATAAGCCGGCAGCGAGCTGGGGGCCAAGGATCCGCTGTGGGACCTGAAGCTGTAGGGCTGTAGGGATGTCACCCACTAAACAGCCGAACCCCAGGCCACTCTCCTCGCCCAAGCAGCGACCTCAAAGATCAACCTACCTACATATTGATTCCATTCATCTTTGTCCTGGCACTTAGATTTCAAGAGAGCAAAGTCGAATCTCACAAAAGTTCCTGCTCCTCGCCGCCAAATCCAGTCAAGGTCTGACTACTAGCCGCCGTACAATAACCCGCTCGCAACTTGTTTCCCCATTCGAGATGAAAACACTCAGCAGCCCCGCCTCAATCAATCATGCATCCACCAGGAGAATCGTGGCAGTGCTTTGAGCCATTAGATATTACCACATCAATTCCCAACTATTGATTCCGATTCTCTCTCCCCTCCATTTCCCTTTCACCACCGTCCCTCAGTCCAGATATAAGCGACAATGCCCGAGAAGAGCCAGAAGCAGTACACGCGACGCGAGTCCCGCTCCATTGGAGCGCTGTTAGGCCTTCACGCTGGCGACTCCCTGGGCGCAACTCTCGAGTTCCAGAGCCATGAGCAGATCGCCAAGTCCTACCCCAAGGGCCTCTGGGATATCATCGGCGGTGGTCACTTCAACTGGTCGCCTGGCCATGCAACCGACGACACCGACATGACCCGCTGTGTCCTCCTGGCATACCGAGACCTAGCACGCAAGGGAAAGCCCTTCACCACTGGCCAGGTTAGACGGCGTGCTGGAGACTACTTCGTCGACTGGTACGAGGGGAACTGGCCAGGCCGCAACCCACCGGGGACCCGGCCCAAGGACATCGGTAACATGACCGCCATTGGAATCACCAGCTTCCGCGCGAACCCTGACGCTCCAGTGGCGGCTGGGCAAAACTCTGCCGGCAACGGCTCTCTCATGCGCTGCATCCCCACGGCCGTCTTCCAGCCAGACCTCACCCGTCTCCTCCACGAGAGCCAGGCCATCAGCGCCATCACGCACGCCGACAAGCGCTGCACCATTGCCTGCGCCGCTTACAACGCATGTGCCGCCGCCCTCATCGGCGGCGCCGGCCCTACCTACGCTGTCAACGCTGCCGAGGCGGCGGCGGTCCAGCTCGAGGGGGGTGAGGCGGGCGGGGACGTGGCGAGAGCCATCCGTCTCGGGAGGAAGCTCGACATCGCGAGGGCGGCCAAGTACGGGCCGCACAAGGACTTCTTCCCCGGGGCCTGCTCGGGGTATGTCCTGGAGACCCTGACCATTGCCATTGCCGCCGTGCTGGATCACAGGACTCTGGAGCAGGTCTTGGTGGACGTGGTTCGCATCGGCAAGGACACGGATACGAATGGTGCTGTTGCTGGCGGGCTGCTTGGGGCGAGGGACGGGAAGGATGCCATTCCGAGAAGATGGTGGGAGCGCTTGCAGTTTGCTGATGAGTTTAAGAGAATTACTTTGGAGATTCTGGAGCTGGGGATCCCGACTGCGGCAGACAAGGAGTTCAATCACATCAAATAATAGTCACTTTTACAAAAAGTTTCAAGCTGATCCGCGGCCCCTCATTTCCCTTTCACTAGATGAATGTAAGTAGAGGTTTGAGAACAGGTGTGCAAGTGTTCATCGCACTATGCTGCGTCCAAAAAGACTCTTCAGACCTGTGCAGTTACCTGCAGGATTACCTTGTTCAAATAATCTTGAAAAGTGGCAAGACAGAAATCATCAATCTTGACTAGCCAGCTAACTAAACAGGCGACATGGTCGTAAAGGCAGTAGTGTAGGTATTGTAACCAGCTTCCTGGCGAGATCCTGATCGAGGTTAACGTGTGTATGGAGAGCCAAGACTCGAGTATGCCGTGCCACCCACCCCCCTGCACAATCCCCCAGTGGTTGAATCCACGAACCAAGAGTAAAATACTATTAGTCTCTGGAAAGGGAGACACATCAGACAATGAAGGGTCAAAATTGGCAAGGCAATGCACAGTCATAGTTGATCCATCCGGAATTGTCACAGTTCAACCAACAATTATCAGATGAAGAACCTACGGCGTTGGAAGACTGAAAAAACGCCTTGCCAATAATTGCAGGGCTACTTCTACTATCGAACTAAAAAGTGCAAGGTACAACTTCCAGAACAAGAGTAGCGATTTCCTGGAGTGGATTGGCTCAAACGCGAGACGCAATGACAAGTAGCTGCGCCACGATGGAAACGAGAGTCATCGACCACGAAGGATCAATACGAGAACTTGACAAAACACTTTATTTAAGTGCATTTAGACATCCAAATCATCACGCCGCTCTCCATCACCGCTCCCTTTGCAAGTTTCAGTAACTATCCGACATAATGAATCAAATACCACCACCAGAATTAGCCAATACAATGCCTCCGGCGGCTGGGGCAACAGCTGGCAAGCCTAGAGATCCCTCATGGCCCGGACCACGGCGAAGGCCTCGTGTTCCCCAATTTTACGGAATCGTGCACTGCATGAAACGATCGCTGGGCGTAATGCTTGACCTCGGTGGTATCGTCATGTGTATCATGTACGCGGCCAAATACCCTCCGAGAGTTGCATCTGGGATTGTGCCGACGATTGGGGTAATAAACACCCACCCATCTTTTTCTTTGTATTAAATAGAGGTTAAAAAGACTGACTCTCTGTTTTCAGGCCTTTCTTGCTTTGGGAATCGATCTTGCCGAGGTTATAGGGACAGCGAACGGGTCCAGACGAATTCCAAGAGCGCACCCAGGCCTTACTTTTTTCCTCGACTTTGTCGCCATGATATTGTTTTTAGTTGGCTTTCTCATGCTGTTTCTCTCCGATTTCAACGAGTCGTCGAGGCCACGACCATGGCTGGATGCAGTGCCAGAAATGTTGATTATTGAATGCCTTAGTTTGTAAGTGTTTCTTCCTTCCCCCCCTCTTCTCCTGGCCTCTTCTATGAATTCACTAACAATACGCCACGATTTAGCTCGATACGAATCATCTTTTTGATTTGGGCCTGCATAGATTGCTGTGTACGGAAATCTAATAGGAAGAAGCGAGTGATATACGTCCCCGTGGTGTTTCCTGCCAATGCTTCAGGACCAGGGATCCCGCCGCCAGTGTACGGCTTGCCTGCCGGCTACGCCGTAGCAGGGACAGAGCTCCCCAAGTACGAAACTACTTCCGACAGGAATCAGGTTACTACCAGTTAGAAAAGGAAATGTGGTTCGGTTCGTCAATCACAGGGGGATAATGGGATACTTAATAACTAATTGCAACTCTCAAGGTCGTCGAGTATATATTAATGAGCAATGGAAAATAATCTTTTCATAAGCAACTCCCTTCTCGATAGCTGTTCGCTAATCAACTAGTGAGCTCAAGTCGGCTGCCAGATCATGTTTTCTCAGTAACCACCTCAGCCAAGCTACTATACCTTAAACATCACATGTGAGCGTAGGGATTTCAAGGGGGAGTAAAGTGTGTCTTCCTAGAGAGGGAAACCTCATGGCCTCCATTATGATCTGTTACAAATGAAACAAAAGCCATACAAATCAAATCTTGTGGACGGCTTCAACCAACGGGCCGAGATGTTATTAGTCCAAGCCTGAAAGCGTAGTACTCCCGTTAATTCATATAGACCGGTAGTCAACATATTTTACACGGCGACATGAAGCCCAGCGGAAGTTGAAGCTCGTCAACTCAACCAAGGGTAACTGTGTCGAGGAAAAACAAGCACAAGCCCACATACGTAGGGAAACCACTTATTCCAAGGGCCATAGAATAGATTGAGATCCAGAAGTCATATGAATCAAGGCTTTAGCTTTGGAGATTCAATCTTATTGGATCAAATAGTTCATGTAATTCATCGTCTGCCGAGGCATTGAATATTTGCCAACTCGTCGTCAAGAGAATGATTTTTTCCAAGGCAGATTCTGAAATGGCATTCCAACCCAGCTAATTGTCACTGGCCAATCCCGGACCAAGGTGTTGGACATAGTACCTCCTCCCCAAGATCCGTTATCACTTGATCGGTTTCCACATGTTCCGGGGTTCCATGCACCACTCGGACTAGGTATAAACCTAAGTAGCTTGATTACCGATACATCATTTTCCCGAGGATGTTGCCATGATTTTGCATGTTGGTTCCCATCGATGATGTCAGTGACGGAACCAAAAGATAAGCAGCTCGCTTATGCTGCCATGCGTGAGATTCGGAGCTCGGATAGTAACCCTTCTCATTGAGTGTGCAATAGCCGGTCAGCCGCCAAATCTCAGGTTGCTTCCTTACTTGCATGGGACTTTGTACATGCAGACAGCCCCTCATATCCGCATGATCACTCAGCTTCACGGAGATAAATACAAGCTAACGAACGATTCTCAGCACATTAAATAAGTGTACATGGAATCAGCAATGCCCAGCTAGACCATTGAAATTTAGCAAGCCAGCCATTGGATATTTCTTTGCAAATATGGGCTTGCCAGGGGGAAACAGCTCAAGCAATAAGTTAGCATGATTGAGCAAAGGTGGAGAGCAGTCGAGTGATACGGGTGATCAAGATGGCCGGTCCGGTATACTAATTGACAATAGGACGAGCTCGTTTTTCATGGTATCACTTTTTCAATGCGTCCACACATAAGTTCATGTTTGCTCATATCATATGGGCAGGTTCAACCAGGGTGCGTAGCCAAGAAAGCCGTCATGTGGAGAGCAGCTCGTCTCAAGCAGATTTATCAATGACGCCAAGATGCAGTTAAATTGTGCGTAGGGGTGCATTCAGCAGAACCGATGCCTGTGGTCAGTCAAGGCCTCCGTTGTTTGTTTCCTCTTCTCCCACCGTGGGGTGTGTGAGATCCGCCAAGGGCTCAACCCGGCCCGCCGCAAGCCATCGAGATAAACAAAATCAGGGGTTCTTATTTTGTCCCATATTTTCTTTTTTTTTACTTGAAGATAAAGGCGCAGTTGGTCCCACGTACCAGTTTCTGTCACCTGGAGCTTGAACGGAGGCTCGTTGATTGGGCTGTGCACAAACGGAAGCCATACGGAAGTGCGGAAGCACGGAAGCGGAACTCAGTTGATCCGGTGTCCCAACAAACCTGGTCGCTACTGCCCCGGTTGATTGGTGAGACTCGGATTGTCCAACCAAAACACTCTCCTCCATCCGTCCATCCATCCGCCGCCTTTCGCATGGACAATCCGCAACCCACGTTTATCAAATCTCGCATCGGCAACGCGTGCGACGGCTGCAAAAAGAGGAAGGCAAAATGCGACGGCCAACAACCCTGCAGTTTCTGCGTGCGACGCCGCCGGCCCGAGCTGTGCCACTACTCCCCCCAGAAGAAACCGCAACGCAGGCGACGGCAACCGCTTCAAGCCGCTGCGGATGGTGATGGTGATGGAGTCCATGCAGCGGATGATGCCACGCGAGTAACCGCACAGCCAGCAGCGTCTGCGCATCGCAACCCACAGCCGCAGTCCCCTCTCCCGTCCGGGCCAATGCGGGAAGGTTCTGCTGTTGTACGGAGCAGCAGCAGCCATGGCGGCGTTTCCAATACGGCAGAGCCTCCTCCCTCTCTCCCTCCTCCTTCCCGTGCCGCCTCAACGCGACCGTCAACTACCCAGGCGGTCATGGACGGTCCCGTTGACGACGCAGACGGCGATACCGAGGTTCCCAGGGAGGCCCGTCTCCTGTGTGACGCCGAGGGAAAGCTCATTTTCATCGGTGACTGTGCGCCCTTGTCCTTCTTCCAGTCGGTTCGGCAGCTAGTGACAAACCGCGTCGGGCCAAATGCCTTTGCCCCTGAGACGAGCCGGTACTCCGTCTTGGAAAATGCCCCAGCGGCGGCGACGGCTGGCCTCTTGTCCGCTCGGAATCTTGCCCCAGATGTCCGGCCGATCCATATTGCCGCCGCCGTGTCGAACTACATCACGGCGACCAGGGGCCTGGTTGACTTGTTTGACGAGGCCAGGCTAGTCGAGGACCTGCTCCTGTGGGCCAATATTGAGCAGAAGCCACACAATCTGACGTCGACTATAAACTACCTCGTCCTTGCCATTGGTCGCCTGAAACACGACCAACAATCCGCCCAAGTATACTTTGAATATGCTCGTGATGAGGCTTGGAAGAGCTTGAGCGGTACACTCGGAGTCGGGACCATCCAAACCTTCATCCTCATCACCGTGTATATGCTATGCTCATGCCAGATAAACAGCGCCTTTCTGGTGTTTGGTGTTGCTGTGAGGGCGGCACACTCTATCGGCGTCCACCGCACAGAGGTAAATGCTCGCTTTGGACCAGAGATTCATCGTCAAAGAGACAGGTTGTGGAAGAGCCTGCGGGTCGTAGACTTGTTCTTGAGTACATCCATGGGCCGGCCTCCGTCCACATCTGATGTCGACTGCACAGTGCCTTACAAATCCTTGGACCAAGACGGCAATGAAGTCTTTGACCTGCTCAATGCCTCTGTCCAGATTCTTCTCATCCTTGAATCCATCGTCCTCGAAATCTACTCGCGCAAGAAGATATCGCTGCAGCTGACCGAAGGGATTTCCCTCCAACTCCGTGACTGGTCCTCCAAATGGCTTCAACAACTCAAGAATGTAATTGCAAACATGAACGAACCGAATAGCCAGGCTGACGTTGTCGGCGCATGCCAGGTGCTTTCTTCATACTACTACGCTGTGATGCTAGTGTCCCGCCCGTTTCTCATGTATGAGCTTGTGAGGCGGCTGTCGGACAATCCGTCATCACACGGTACAATGTCGTCAGGCACTCTGATCTCTGGCAAGTCCAAGCTCGCAGACGCATGCATCGACGCCGCCAGCCTCATGGTGGACCCCGTCCTCAATTTGATTGATCATCAAGTCCTCAATGGTCCCGTGCCGCTTTTGGTGTAAGAAGACGCCCAGACTAACACCGCAACCCCGGACTGATTGATGCAACTTGACTGACGCCACATACAATAGCTCATGGCTCTTCGCCTCATCACTCGTTCTGGGCGTGGGTCTACTCGGTGGCTTCGGGCGAATCCTCGAGAAGTACACACGAATGTCCATTCGAGCCCTCGACCACTTCTCCCAGTTCGACACCCATGCCACCCAATACTCGCTTATTGCCCAATCACTTCTCACGACAGCACTAGAGCACCTCGAGAAGCGAGAGCTGCAAGAGAGGCTCCGCCGCACAGAGAACTCAAGCCAGCTTTTCGGACTAATGCCACATGACAACCCCAGCCCGACCGGCCGATCTCCCATGCGATCTGCTCCTATGTACTCATCCTCTCAGCTGGCGAGTCCGATCTCCAGGCCTCGCGAGTCGGTTGATCGGCCTTACTCGCAGCAGACATCTATGCAGGCAGTTCCTTCCCCCTCCCCCCGCTTTGGAAACCTCGACTCTGCCTTCATGGGCCTGGACTCGCTGATGCCAACACCAGACGGAACGTTCTGGATGTCATATCTCCAGGATAATGACCAAGGATCTGCACTAAACCTGTTTCCATTACTTGATGCCGGGGGTGGGATCGATCTCGCGCATCACCTCTAGTCGTACCATCTGCGATGATTCAACACATTTGGTTTATGAATATCTCAACAAGCCCAAAAGCATTCTGGTATTGTACATTTCGTCAGCACATAGAACCTAGACACGCTACCTTACACTATCGTTTACCCAATATTTAATGCTATTACGACATCAAGGACGTTTTCTTGCTTTCTTAGCATCACCATTTGCTTCGCTCTTGCAGCACATCCTGCAAATCCAACGCGGCAATGAAGGGACTAGACTCATGGGCTATAATTACACCACCCTCTGCCAAGACTCTGTTTCCGGCGAAATCATTCGCAAGGCGCTGCCAGCTGAAACTTCGCTCCATCCTAGCTGATCAATAGCACCGTTGGCGTGAAGTTATCTCCCCCAGCCCTACATCAACGGTCAGCCAGGCAGGGGAGCCCGGAAGCCAAGAAGCCGGAACTAGCTGGCATCCAAGCCGTACCCTCTCAAGGGATTCATGACGTAGCTGGCGGCCGCGGCCCTTCCTTGAACATAGATCTTTCCATACAGAACTCTGGCTGGGAGTTAAGGCCCAGCCCTAAGCGCGCTATGTGTAGATGATGGATGGTTGCTAGCTGGCTGACTGCCTCCGATCAGACATTAGGTTCTTGATAGGCCTTGGCTCACATCATTTCAACCACACCTCAGTCAAGCACTACTGTCTCTTGTCCATAATTAGGTTGGGTGAACTTGTCAATTCACTTCAGTCACAGAGACGAATATACTGGTTGACGAAATCGATTATAAATTAATTTACTAAACCATCACCTCGATCCTCCATCACCTTCCCAGGAACCCTTCTCCCATCCCCTTCCCCATTCCCTTTCCCATCTCCTTCGCGCTTACCCGTGAAGCATCCTAGTACTTGCCATAGCTGCCGTACTTTCCATAGTTTCCGTAGTCCCCGTAGGTGGTCGGCTTGCCGTTGTCCTTGTAGTCGCCGTAGCTAGCATAGGTAGGGGGCCCTTTGGCCTTGACGTCCTTGTAGTCGCCATAGCTGCCGTAGCCTCCCTCTGGGGGCTGCTTGTAGTCGCCGTAGCTACCGTACTTGCCAACCCCGGTGCCCTTGTAGTCGCCGTAGTCGCCGTACTTGCCCACCCCGGTGTTCTTGTAGTCTCCGTAGTCGCCATAGTCGCCTGGGTTGGCCTCTGCGACTGGGGCTGGGTTGGCCTCGGGTTCGGCCTCTGGGACAGGGGCGGCGAGGAGGACGGGGACGAGCCCGAGGACGGTGAGGATGGTGAGCTTCATGTTCAGGAGGGAGGCGTATCGAAGAGATGAGCAAAATGTGATTGATATAGCGAGCAAGCTGGGGTGTCAACCGTCAAGTTTTCTTATAGCTGCGAGGCCAGTTGGTAGTATAAGATCATCATGGAGAGGTGCCCGGGGAGCGTAGGGGCCTTTAATGCTCCCGCCTGGCAGCTCAAGATCAGAGTCTGATACTGGAATTCTCGGCACATGATGTCGAATGCTCAAACATGTTCTCCACCCGCGATCGCCAACTTGATCGAAGATAACCTCATCGCCGACCAAGAGCTGGAGGGAATGTCCATAGGGCAGTCACCTTACTGCAACGAGGTCTAGCGGAGCACGGCATCGAAGGCGAGGTCTGGTCAAGGTTCAGGTAGTCGAGAATCTAATCCGACCTGGCTCCTGCTGCGCGGAATGTGACCGACCGTCGTGATTCCCCAAGGGTCCTTGTCCTCACATCCTTTCCCAAGGATGATGTCTAGAATCGTGCGAGCCGTGCTAATAACTGGCCTCAATAGGCACGCACGCCCGGAAAGGGTGTAGCATGCAGATACTAGCTGCTGGCCGATGAAATGTGTGTGGGCCGGGAAAAGGATACGAGATGCGGGGGAGTGAGTGTGAATGGGAGCTTTGATAGGCGGCGAGTGATGACCTACTAGAGCTGCGGGACGACATTCCAGCCAAACTCAATTTCTGGATGGGGGAAGACGGAGTGAGTGATGACCGGTGAGATCTCCCCCATTGATTGCTCCCCGATTGGTCCGTCCCGGACGGAGTGGCAGCTATCGAGGGCCAGCTGGCTTGTTGGCGCTGCGGTTAGTGAACCTTCTTCTGCATCTGAGAGATGAGATGCTGGTCTGTGATGCAACGTGATGCTACAGGGTCCGATGAGGGAGGCAGGATGTCTGGGCAAGCAGTCCGGCTGCAGTGGAAACCAAAACCATGCTGCTGCCATTGATCAGGTCGGGGGCTTACTCACATCTCCCGTTTCACCATCTGCCCTCTGCCGCCTCTTCTCCTCGCTTATTTTCCTCCATTCCTTACATAGCTTCAGCTCGCGGGAGGTTTACCTCATCACCATAATGGCCAAGGAAGAACACCATCCGCTCGTTGAGGGTCAAGATGTCGATTCAGACGAGTACGACGATGGCCCGGAGTCGTCGCGGAGTCGGGCAGCATGGCCTTCCAGGCAGCAGACTGGCTCTGGGCCATGGCTGTCGTCTCCAGTCTTCCGTATGGTCGCCGTGGCCACAATCCTCGTCCTCTTCATCGTCGTGTCGGCGGTGATTGGGCTGCAGTTTCTCTCCCTCTCCCAACAGCGACCTTCACCTCCAGCAGGACCAGAGTGCGCGGCACGCACGTCCATGTGGTGTAGGCATCTCCCCATCTCACCTTCTTTCAGACAACAAGAGACACCAGATGAAGACTTGCCTCGGTGGCTCTGTTGTCCCAGTGCAGGGAAGAATGATTAGCTAAGACCTTTGATCCATGCAGCTCCGGTCCTACGCGATATCCCGATGAAATACGCTCCGGTAGACTTCAACGGTTCATTCATGCACGAGAACATCTACCGCCAAGTCGGGTCCCCAGAAGTGGACGCCGCGTGGGAGGCGCTCGGCGTCGACTGTAAGTTTCTTCCCAGCACTCTCACTCTCCCATAACAGCTCTCATCAAACTCCACAAAACAGATCGTGCAGGTGCCATTTCCTACGAGGATGGTCTCGCCAGCGGCCTGGACGAGTCGTATGCGCAGAGATCGCCGCAATACGGAGGCGGGTTCATCGTCAACGTCGAGGGCATGCATCACCTCCACTGCCTGGTAAGAGACACCGATATGCTTGATTCACATGCTCGATACTGACTCTCATGCAACCCAGAACCTAGTCCGGAAAGCGCTGTGGTTCAACTATGACCGCTACAGGGAGCTGGGCCACCATGCATTCAAGAACGACGAATACATTCTGCGCCTGCATGTCAGTAAGTAGCAACCTTCACAATCTCCACGATGCGACTGCAACCACCCTCATACGTCACTCAACAGTTCTCATGCTAACTGGCCTATTCAAGCGCACTGTCTGGATACCGTCCGCCAGGTGCTGATGTGCAACGTCGACACCGGCGTCCTCGGCCAGGTCTGGGTCGATCCTGAGAAGCCCAACGCCTTCCCGGACTTCAACACACGGCACATGTGCAAGGATTACGATGCCGTCCGCCGCTGGGCCAAGGATCTGCAGGTATGTCTTTCTGTCTGGTAATCCATCTGATGACATCCATTCACTTACTGACTGGGTCCCAGGCCCCTCCTTTGGAAGACGTACCAGGGGATTTCCTCGCTCCCCCCATATACGGTGGTGTCATGCCCAACACACCTTAACACACAGCCACAATAGGTTAATAGGTGTCAATTCACATGTAATCACGCTTCATTCCGAAGTGGTTGCTACGTTGTACTCTTCATACTGGGCAGAGCATGATGCATATTTATTTTTTGGTCAGTTATATAGCAGTCGCAGGAGGCGAATCATCATCGTCAACAGGGATAGACAGGAACAGTCAAGTAATAAGATAATTCAACACAATATCATATCTTGAATAATTTTTAATTCATTCAGTTCATGTCATATGTGCTACAAGGTCAGGTAATCACCCCCCATCTCATGCCAAGCACGTTACAGTCGTCATTTTACATCCAAACTCCATCTCATTGCTCCTTTTTCAGCCCGAGCGCGCCCCTCAGGACCTGCATGAACCTCCAGACATCCTCGAACCGGGAGTACAGCGGGACCGGCGCCACCCTGATCACGTCGGGCTTCCGCTTGTCGCACACGGCGCCGTTCTCCTCGAGCGCGACGATGACGCTGTCCAGCAGGCCCTCGGCCAGCAGCACGCTCAGCTGCGTGCCCCTCTGCGCCGGGTCGCGCGGCGTGAGGATTTTAAAGAGCTCCCTGCCCGACTCGGCGTTCATCCCGTCGAGCAGGTACTCGGCGTACGCCGTGAGCACGAGCGCCTTGCTGCGCAGGTCGCGCATCGTCGTCTTGCCGAACACGGACAGCGCGCCGGACAGCGAGGCCAGGTCGATGGCGGAGGGGTTCGACACCTGGTACCCGCCCGCGCCGGCCGTGGGCACGAACCGGTTGTCCATGTTGAAGCGCACGCTCTTGTCGCCGCCGTACCACCCCGTCAGGCGGGGGCGGTACGAGGGGCGGCGGCTCTCCGGGGAGGAGGAGTTGTCGCCCTCGGGCCACTCGACGCCGCCGAAGCGCTCGTGGACGAAGGCGCCCGCGATGGAGCCCGGGCCGGCGTTGATGTACTTGTAGGTGCACCAGCAGGCGAAGTCGACGTCCCAGTCGTGCAGCTTCAGCTCGACGTTGCCGGCGGCGTGGGCGAGGTCCCAGCCGACGACGATGCCCCTGGCGTGGGCGTACGCCGTGATGCGCGGGATGTCGAAGTACTGCCCCGAGTAGTACTGGATGCCCGGGAGGAGGAGGAGGGCGGTCTCGTCGCCGTGCTCGTCGATTGTGGCGAGGATCTTCTCCGTGGGGATGAGGAAGTTCTTCTCCGGCTCGATCTTGACCATGCTCTTCTCCGGGTCCAGGCCGTGCCAGGTGATCTGGCTCTCGATGGCGTAGTAGTCGCTGGGGAAGGGCCTCCACTCGAGGATGATCTTGTGCCGCTTCTCGGTGGGCTTGTAGAAGCTGGCCATCATGAAGTGCAGGTTGGCCGTGAGCGTGTTCATGATGACAATCTCGTAGGGCGAGCTGCCGACAATGTCGGCCGACTTCTTGGCGCAGTCGGCGGCCATGTCCTGCCAATTGGTCAGGGGGGAGTTCCCCAGGTCGGTGAAGTGGCCGCCGACGCCGATGGAGGCCCATGTCTCGAGCTGGGCGTTGATGTACTCGCGAACAGCCTTGGGCTGGGCGCCCAGCGAGTTGCCCACAAAGTATATGCCTTGCTCAGAGCCTTCGCTAGATGAAGTCCCATTTGTGGATGACCCATTGCTTGTGCCATTTTGAGTTGTGGAGGGATTGCCTATGTCATGAGCGGAGGGGAGTAAGCTTCACAGGTCAGGCTGATAGCTCGCTGGGAAGAGCACATACCAGGAATGGTTCCGTCCAGGGCCTTCTTCCTCAGAGACGCCCTAGTGGGGAGAATGAACTCATCCCGCAGGTGGCTTAATGAGTCTTGGCTATCGAGGTTCTGGGCAAAGGAGAGGTTGTTGGCCTCGGAAGGGAAGCCAGCAGGCTTGCCGTTGCGAAGACGATCAACGAAGGATGACAGCTCCATGACGAGATCCGGGGGGTCAGAGACGGAAGATGCTGAACTATCAGACCAGGGTGGAAGGCGTGATCCGGGAGCAAGTCGTACGATGTGAGCTGTTGTAACGAGGATCTAGAATCTAAAAGGGTGGTTTATATCCTCGGGGACTCTCAAGAGCGTCGCAGTTCACACACTTTATGCACCAGGATCCGACAGCTGGGGGTGTTCGTTTTCTCCGATGCGGGCACAAGCGGCTGCTCGTCAATCTGCGATATCGCGCAGATCCACCCTTCCTTGTGCCCCGAGACTCCGGCCGTCACTGATTACATGAATGAATGCAAGAGAATTCACTAGATCCGCTCTTCCGTGCTTCCGTGCTTCCGTGCTTCCACCATCTCGTTCGCCCCTCCACACTTCCTCGCTTCCTCCAACACGACACTCCTCCCACCTGGTCTAAACCTCATCTTGCACCCTGCATGAGATAGGTACTTCCTTTTGAGATTTCTGCTATCGGCGATTCGTAGAGCTGGCACACCAACAAGTGGGAGGAGGGGAGCGATGCGACGGCTGTCTCACCAGGACAAATCTACACCACGGAGCTCTATCAAGCATGCATGGAAGTCCCGTCACGTGTGTACACCAACCACTGGACTTGTCATGACAGCACAATGAAGTAGATGATTCCAGATAATAATATCTCAACCGTGCGCCCGGATCCAGATCATGGGGTCATCAAATTTGAA